TGATGATGCCGATGATGATGATGGTGATGATGATGATGGTGTCCCGATGGTGATGGTGATGATGAGGATGATGATGATGCTGTTGATGCTGATGATGGCTTCCCGATGGTGATGATGTTGATGATGGTGTTCATGATGATGATGAGATGATGATGATGATGATGATGATGATGCTGATGATGATGATGATGATGATGATGAGTGTTGTGTTCCGATGCTGATGCTGATGATGGTGTCCCGATGATGATGTTGATGATGATGGTGACGATGATGGTGTCCTGATGCTGATGATGATGGTGATGATGATGATGGTGATGAGGTGCTGGTTATGATGGTGTCCCGATGATGGCGATGATGATGATGATGATGATGATGATGATGATGATGACGTGGATGACGATGATGTTGATGATGATGATGATGATGATGATGATGATGATCACGTTGATTGTGAGATCGATTGTGACATCGATGGTGAGATCGGTAGTGAGACCGAGTGTGAGATCGATCGTGAGATCGATCGTGAGATCGATAGTGAGATCGATTGTGATATCGATAGTCAGATCGATTGTAAGATCGATCGAATGAAATAGATCGAGTGAGATCGATTGTGAGATCGATCGAGTGAGATCGATCGAGTGAGACCGATAGTGAGATCGATAGTTAGATCGATAGTGAGACCGATCGAGTGAGACGTTGGTTCCTCCCCCCCCCCGAACCTCCTTATCACCCGAAGGGTGGTCGTATAGGTATCGCTCTGCGGCGGCCTTTCAATTTGATTTGTACGTAGTGGTGTTCGATGTTCCCGGCGGGTCCCGGGGTGGGTTATGCATGGAAGAACGGGCGGGCTTCTTGGAATAACACGACCAGTAGCGTTTTCAGAACGGAGGTTATCAAAACGGGAACACCATGAACACAGTTAGCTAGTTATGTGGGTTATCAAAGCCGCAGGCAGTGAAACACAACATTGCTGGCGGCAGACACATCGCACAACTGTGCACAGTTACCTATATGTGTGTTTCCATGCGGGATGACAATGCTTCGAGTTCGGGCGGATTTGTTTTGTGTGCTGGCCTTGCACATTCATGTCGTTGTGGGTTTGCAACCATTGTTCTCATGTTTGGCGGGCTGTAAGCTGATCGTCCTTTTCCGTTGCGCCGAAACTTTGGATGTGTTTTTTTTCCCAACCCTCCTATGGTTGGGTACTCGTTTTGAATAGAGCACGTTTTCCGCAACGCCGAAACTTTGGATGTGTTTTTTTCCCAGCCCTCATGGTTGGGTACTCGTTTTGAATAGAGCAGTGTGGTCGCCCCGTCCTCCTTCTACTCCTCCCCCCTCCTCCCCTCGTCCTCTCCTGTCTCCTGTGTTCCCCTCTCCTCTTCTCTCGTGCCGTCGAGCCGCGAGATGCGCAACTGTCGCCATTTTCGTGGGCTCCTGGGAGGCCCAGCGGAGGTGGGTCCCACGCAGATCACCTCGAGAACTCGCGATGCCCTGGGGGCTGCGATCTGCGCAATTGTCGCCACTTTCGTGGGCTCCTGGGAGGCCCAGCGGAGGTGGGTCCCACGCGGATCACCTCGAGACCTCGCGGTGCCTTGGGGGCTGCGATCTGTGCAATTGTCGCCATTTCCGTGGGCTCCTGGGAGGCCCAGCGGAGGTGGGTCCCACGCGGATCACCTCGAGACCTCGCGGTTCTTTGGGGGCTGCGATCTGTGCAATTGTCGCCGTTTTCGTGGGCTCCTGGGAGGCCCAGCGGAGGTGGGTCCCACGCGGATCACTTCGAGACATCGCGGTGCCTTGGGGGCTGTGATCTGCGCATATGTCGCCACTTTCGTGGGCTCCTGGGAGGCCCAGCGGAAGTACGTCCCACGCGGATCACCTCGAGACCTCGCGGTGCCCTGGGGGCTGCGATCTGCGCAATTGTCGCCACTTTCGTGGGCTCCTGGGAGGCCCAGCGGAGGTGGGTCCCACGCGGACCTCTAGACCTCGCGGTGCCTCGGGGGCTGCGATCTGCGCAATTGTCGCCACTTTCGTGGGCTCCTGGGAGGCCCAGCGGAGGTGGGTCCCACGCGGATCACCTCGAGACGCGATTTGCGCAATTGTCGCCACTTTCGAGGGCTCCTGGCTGGCCCAGCGGAGGTGGGTCCCACGCGGATCACCTCGAGACTCGCGGTGCCCTGGGGGTTGCGATCTGCGCAATTGTCGCCATTTTCGTGGGCTCCTGGGAGGCCCAGCGGGGTTGGGTCTCACGCGGATCACCTCGAGACCTCGCGGTGCCCTGGGGGCTGCGATCTGCGCAATTGTTATCACTTTCGTGGGCTCCTGGGAGGCCCAGCGGAGGTGGGCCCCACGCGGATCACCTCGAGACCTCGCGGTGCCTTGGGGGCTGCGATCTGCGCAATTGTCGCCACTTTCGTTGGCTCCTGGGAGGCCCAGCTTAGGTACGTCCCACGCGGACCACCTCGAGAACTCGCGGTGCCCTGGGGGCTGCGATCTGCGCAATTGTCGCCACTTTCGTGGGCTCCTGGGAGGCCCAGCGGAGGTGGGTCCCACGCGGATCACCTCGAGACCTCGCGGTGCCTTGGGGGCTGCGGTCTGCGCAATTGTCGCCACTTTCGTGGGCTCCTGGGAGGCCCAGCGGAGGTGGGTCCCACGCGGATCACCTCGAGACCTCGCGGTGCCTTGGGGGCTGCGATCTGCGCAATTGCGCAATTGTTGTCACTTTCGTGGCTCCTGGGAGGCCCAGCGGAGGTACGTCCCACGCGGACCACCTCGAGACCTTGCGGTGCCCTGGGGGGCTGCGATCTGCGCAATAGTCGCCCTTTTCGTGGGCTCCCGGGAGGCCCAGCGGAGGTGGGTCCCACGCAGATCACCTCGAGACCTCGCGGTGCCTTGGGGGGCTGCGATCTGCGCAATTGTCGCCGCTCCCACGCGGACCACCTCGAGTCTTCGCGGCGCCCTGGAGGGCTGCGATCTGCGCATGTGTCGCCACTTTCGTTGGCTCCTGGGGGGCCCAGAGCAGGTACGTCCCACGCGGACCACCTCGAGACCTCGCGGCGCCCTGGGGGGCTGCGATCTGCGCAATAGTCGCCACTTTCGTTGGCTCCTGGGAGGCCCAGCTTAGGTACGTCCCACGCGGACCACCTCGAGACTTCGCGGCGCCCTGGGGGGCTGCGATCTGCGCAATAGTCGCCACTTTCGTTGGCTCCTGGGAGGCCCAGCTTAGGTACGTCCCACGCGGACCACCTCGAGACTTCGCGGCGCCCTGGGGGGCTGCGATCTGCGCAATAGTCGCCACTTTCGTTGGCTCCTGGGAGGCCCAGCTTAGGTACGTCCCACGCGGACCACCTCGAGACTTCGCGGCGCCCTGGGGGGCTGCGATCTGCGCAATAGTCGCCACTTTCGTTGGCTCCTGGGAGGCCCAGCTTAGGTACGTCCCACGCGGACCACCTCGAGACTTCGCGGCGCCCTGGGGGGCTGCGATCTGCGCAATAGTCGCCACTTTCGTTGGCTCCGGGGAGGCCCAGAATAGGTACGTCCCACGCGGACCACCTCGAGACTTCGCGGCGCCCTGGGGGGCTGCGATCTGCGCAATAGTCGCCACGTTCGTTGGCTCCTGGGAGGCCCAGCGGAGGTACGTCCCACGCGGACCACCTCGAGACCTCACGGTGCCCTGGGGGGCTGCGATCTGCGCAATTGTCGCCACTTCCGTTTGGGAGGCCCATCAGAGGTACGTCTTACGCGTTGCCGCTGCTCTTCTTGCTGCTCTCTTCTGAGTTCACTGATGGGTGCTCTTCTTCCGCACTGCGGGTTTTTCAGCATGCCCGTCAGCATTGTGTGGTCCCGAATGTAACCACCACATGTATAGAAAGGGTTGGGTACGTCGCAGGGTAAGTTTTCTTCCGAGGTCAGCGACGTGGTGACATCTATATTATGGAACTTGCATGGCGTGAGCCATGTGGTGTACGCTATGTGGTGTAACATGTGTGGCCTGGGTCATGTTGCTTCAACCATGCGATGTGACATGTGGTGCGGCATATCGTGTGCAAGATATGCGGTGTAAATGTTGAGTTGTGGGCTGTGTTGCGTATGCTATGGTGCCCACACAGGGGACCCGGCGTCCACGGGGCGCCAACGGGCGGGCACCAAACGAATTTTTGGCGGACGCACTCGAGTCACAGGTCGCCCACGGGGCGCACACAGGCGGGCGCCAGGCAGAGTTTTGGCATGCACCCTCAGTGCGGGACGCCCACGAGGCGGGCGTCAGGCGAAACCGCGGCATGCCCCGAAGTCTCCGCATATCCCCCCCAGCGCGGCATATCCCTTCCAGCGCGGGGCGCCCACGAGGCGCCCACGGGCGGGAACCGGGTGAAGCCTTGCCGGACTCCCCCAGCGCATGGCGCTGGCGTGGCGCCCACGGGCGCCCACCAGTCGTGCACGAACCCAAACCCCGAGGGTAAGAGCTCCATGAGCGCAAGAATTGCGTGGGCAATTGCACTTCCTTCATGGAGGCTTCACACGGGCATTGTTTGTTGCGGCGGCCTTGTAGCCACATGTTTTACGTCGACCGCACAGTTCGATATCTGATGTGACGGCCCCTCACACATGTTCCGTTTTCGTCTGGCGGCTTTGCAGTTTGAATTCTTTCTCCAGTTGCTTAACGATCCAACGTGTTTGTGTCGTGGAGGCCACGCGAACCAAATCTCCTTTAAGGAAGAAACATGTTGCGGGAGGACGAAGAGGATGAGGAGGAGGAGGAGGAGGAGGAGGAGGAGGAGAAGGAACAGGAGGAACGATCACGAGAATTCGTAAAAAAACGCTTTGAAGCAGGGTTGCACGATCCTTTGTTCCTGGGCGCGGTGGTACAACCCTAACCCCCGTCCTCCCGCCCTGCCGCATATCTCCCCGCCGCAAATCTCCCCGCCCTCCCCCATTCCGCCCCTGCCGTTGGGGAGCTGCCGCCCCCTTGCCTGGCCCTCCTGTCCCCCCCTCCCGCCTGCGAGGCCAGCGCTGACGCTGCTAGTGGCGAAGGCCATGGGTGCTGAGAAGGAGCGCTTGAGGCGCACGATGGTATTTCTCCGCATCCAGATCCACCTGCTACTCTTGCTCCTTCTCTGTCCCCTCGCTCAGATGAGGTAGAAGAGTAATCCCGGTATTCTTGTTGGCGCGTCTCAGTCTCGGCCTCCTCTCCAAGCGGCAGCCTCTGTCGGCGCCTGAGCACCGGGCCGGGCACCACACATTTGGTAAAGTTCGCTTTTACCACCGACAACCGTGCACGCCTGCATATAACAGGCACCGCGTTCGCGAAGCACACCATATTTGAGTCCTCCAGTGTGGATCGGGACGGGCCTAACAGCACTCATTGTAATTTGCCGTTTGTCGTTGTCATGCTGGCGGGAAAATGTGTGTTCCTTTACCCCATTCGCCTCTGGGGGATTTGTTGTTTCAGCCGGCAGCCGCGCATGCCGACACCACAGGCACCACCTGTGCGAAGGGTGCCGCACGTGATACAGAACATGAGGAGTCAGTGCGTCACCGAGTGCGCTGGCGTGCCCTCTGTGAAAACGGTGCTCTCTGTGAAACAACGACATGCACGGCGACGACGCTTCTGCCTCCTCTCCCCCCGTCCGCCTCCTCTCGTGGTCGGGACCTGCCCCCGTGCACCCACGCCGCGCCCCTTGGTGCCGCGCCAGCGCGCGGGCAGGCCAATCCTGCGCCGAAGCAGGGCGGTGCGCGCACCGGCATGATCTTGGAGAGCCCCGTCGTGCTGATCCCTCCTCGCCCCGGGCCTTCCTCCGAGGGAGCAGGCCAAGCCTCGCTCTGCGGTCCTCTCTTCTTCGGAACTTCGGGCTCTCGCCCCCCCAGCCTCTCCACCTCCCCTCCCCCTCGGCCCCTCCCTCTCACCACCTTCTCGGTCCCCCCCCTTCGTCCCTTTGCCTGAAGTCGGGCATGTCCCCCTACAGGCGGCGGATGTTGGATGAAAAATGAAAACGTAGTCCACAAATATTCAAAACATGCTCAAGAATAGTCAAGACATCGTCCCCAGACTATTTTTGTTTCCTATGTTTGAATCTTCCCCCTGTAGAGGGACAGGCCCGACTTAACCCTTCTCCTCCCCCACTCCCTGGCGCGTCCCCCCCCCCGGCCCCTTTGCCTCCTCTTCCCCCATCGGCCTCGCCTCGGCTCGTCGGCCCTCGGTCGGGCGCGCCGCCCCGCCAGCCGCGTGGCGTCCCTCGCCGCCAGCATCGAGGTCTTGCACTCCGCCTCGCTGGCACGCGCGCCCCCTGCCTCGCCGCCGCTGACGCCGTACCCACTCTCCCATGTTTTCCCTCCCTGGCCTCCTCGGTCTCCTTTCCCTCCTCATCGTCCTCCCCACAACCATCCATGTGTGTATCGTCTGATCCCCATCTCACCATCATCAACACCGTCACTGTCACCATCATCATCCTCATCAGCTTCATCATCATCACCAGCATCATCATCCTCATCATCATCCTCATCATCATGATCATCATCAAGATCACCATCGTCATCAACACCCTGCTCTTCCTCCCAGTCTCCCAGTCCCGAGGCCTCATCCTCCTCCCCTCTCCTCTCTCCCCCTCTTCTTGCTCGTCCTCGTCCTCTCCCTTCCATCATCTCGTCTTCTCTCACCTTGTTCCTCCTGAACATGGAACAAGCAGCTGGTGGCAGGCCAGCTTCTCGTCGTCCTGTTCCTCTTTCCCCTGCCGTCTCGATGTTTTGTTTGCCCACTGCCTGCGCAGTGTGCACCCTTGCGACGGCACTCCTTCTTCAGTGGCCGAGGTTGTGTGAATGATGTGCCGCGGGTGCCTAGGCCTGGGCAGGCTAGAGCCTGCACGACGTCGTGTCGCGACAATTCTTGGCAGCGGGTGGCTGGGCCTGGGCGCTGCTCAGTTTGTCGCAAGGCCTCCAGATCAGGGCCTGTTTTTTCCCCCGCCCGTGGCATCTGTCCCGGGGCGGGTGCTTTGCCTTATGTTGTTTTTCTCGATTGCAACGGGCATGTTATACCAATCAGTCTGCTGTGCTCGGGCTGTACATCTGTAAGCGCAGGGCCACGTACTGCAGTGCAGAAGTCTCAGGTTTATTCCCAATGCCCCAGGGTCATGACTCCACAGAGGCGGGGGTTGTGGAAGAGAGTCCTCGGAGGGCATGCGCCCAAAGCGGAAGGCTTGAAGAGCCTGTGCGGATTCCCTCGTGTGCTCGCCCGACGACTCCTTGTGAGCACGCTCTCAGTATGTTCAGTGGGTTTTGCAGGCCCGTCTTCAAGCACACCGTGTTTGCACATGCAGGGGTGGTGACATCGTGGCGGTCGTTGCCGATCAAATAAAACCTCCTCTTCTCCCTACTGATCCTTCTCTCCGTACTCATTCTCCTCGTCCACCGATCCCCACCTCGTCCTGGAACCAGGCACTGGTGGCATTTCGCTGGACGTCGCGGCTATCATCTCCTTGTTCTCTTCTTCCTCGTCCACTCTCGCCTCCTCTTCCTTTTCCCCACTCCATCATCATCATCATCATCATCATCATCATCATCATCATCATCATCATCATCATCATCATCATCATCATCATCATCAGCAGCAGCAGCAGCAGCAGCAGCAGCATCAGCATCAGCATCAGCATCAGCAGCAGCAGCAGCATCATCATCACGCTCGTCTCTCATTATCCTTCTCTTTCATCCCCCGCCTCACCGTCCTCCATCCTTCTCCCCTCCCCCGATCCCTTCCTTCGGTCTCTCTCCTCCTCGAGACGGCCATCGAGCTAGATGCGCTTGCGACGATGGCAGCGAACTCGCGCTGGCGGCGACGAGGACCACCACCGCTACGACCACCACCGTGGCGCAGTAGCAGACGGGAACCAAACGAGGGATTCGATCCAATGCCACCGCGTGACTCCACGAGAGCGCCGACCCCTGCAGACATCACCAGGCGGCAAGGCAACCTCTGCAGACATCAGCCGTCTCCGCCAAAACGGAAGACCAGGCGAGGGAGGAGGTGGAGCCGGAGGAGCGCGAGGAGGACAAGGGCGACGAGGGCGAGGTGAGCGGAGGCGGGGGGGTGGCCGAGCACCTAGACCCAGCCGCCCAGCAGCCCTTTCTTGGAAGAGGAGGAGGAGGAGGACCAGTTTAAACCAAAGAGTCATCAACGATGTTGGAATAAACCTCCCACCAAGCTCCCTCATCAGAGGCCCCCACAACCACCGCGAGTGAACGTAACCGTTGCACCCTCATAATCCTAAGTCCTGCAACACACTATGCCTGGCATGTTGATCATGGAAATCCGTGAATAGTTACATTTGTTGTTAAATGATGTGCGCGGCGCCTAGGCGAGAGCCACATTTTGAAAAGGAGCCGCCCTCACTCCGTGAAATTCTTGCAAATATTGAAATCGAATGCACGCGGCGCTAAGGTGAGAGCCACATTTTGATAAAAACGATGTGCCCTCACTCCGTGAAGCTCCTGCAAATTTTGAAAACGAGTGTGCGCGACGCTAGGGCGATAGCTATATTTTAAACTTATCCGGCCCGCCGTGAAAACTGGCCTCGGGGTGCGACAGGGAGAGGGTAATTATATGGAAAAGGAATGGAGGAGGCGAAGGAGGATGAGGAGGATGAGGATGAGGAGGAGTAGGAGGGAGAAGGATGGAAGGCGAGGAGGGAGAAGGAGGCCAAGGGGAGGATAATGAGGAGGACGAGTTTTACCATGGCCGAGGCTCGATACTGAAACGGAAAGACAAGTGTCTGATGACTTGTGGTGCACAGGCGCAGAGTTTTCGGAACCCTACTCTGTCTTACTGGTCGTTGGTTTCGGACCGTCTTTTCGAGTTTTGGAAGCTTGCTCGCATCTCGCATGTGTACTTTTTTTTCCGATGCTGCTCGGCAACATCGCGGTGTTCTTTCAGGACGGGCCGACGACGGGCAAGGCCCTTGATGGGAAGAGGACGTGGGCGAGGCCGACGAGGGCGAGGAATACGAGGACGGCGAAGCGCGGCGAGGACGGGGCCGCGCCGGGCGGCGCTGCCCGCGCAGAGGTGCACGACGACATCCTCGACGCCGCGGAGTTCAGGCGCGGCGAGCAGACGATGCACGTGCAGCTCGGCGAGCGCGCCGCGACGCTCGTGGGCGACGCGTTGCGAGCGCGCGCGCGCGTGGGCGTGCCGCCGCCGCCGTGGCCCTCGCTTCCCAGTCCTCCGACGTCGTCCCTTTGCAGGCACTTTTCGTTTTCAAGATCTGACGTCGAAACCGACCTCTAAAGTCAGATCTGGTTTTCCGAAGCCATGCCGGCAGAGCAGGTTCCCGACCCGACTGGCTGGAGTTGTTTGATATGCAGCTTGGGTTCCCAGACCCACCTCGCCCGCGCTGCATACCGCGGCTGCCAGGCCCCGATCGTCCAGATGGTCCCTGGGTGTCCCACGTCGTCCTGCTACCGCGGCCGCCAGGCCTAAACAGTCCAGGCGGTCCCTGCTTATCTCGCGTCGCCCGCCCTGCGACCGCGGCCCGAGAGTCCAAGATCATCATCACGAGCAAGCATCGGCAATATCTTACACGGGTCGATCTCCTGCATCGGTTACATACATCACATGATACTGGAGACCAAACCCAACCATCATCTTTTTAGGGCTACGGGGCTATGGGGCTATATAGGGCTGTAGGGCTGTGAGGCTATGGTGCTATATGCCTATAGGGGTATCGGGCTATAGGGCTATTGGGCTAAAGGGCTGTAGAGCTATAGGGCTATAGGTCTATGGGGCTATAGGGCTATAGGGCTACAAGGCTGTGTGGCTACAGGGCTATAGGGCTATCGGGCTATATGGTCTAGGGCTATTATAAGGGCTATAAAGCTACCGGGCTATGGGCTTTTGGGTTATAAGGCTATAGGGCTGTAGGGCACCCTGGCACCCGGGCACCCAGGCACCCTGGGACCCGGGCACCCGGGAACCCAGGCACCCGGGAACCCAGGCACCTGGGCACCGGGCACCCGGGCATCCGGGCACCCAGGCACCCGGGCACCCAGGCAGCCGGGCACCCGGGCACCCGGGCACCCGCGGGCACCCGGGCACCGGGCTCCCGGGCACCCGTGCACCTGGGCACCCAGGCACCAGGGCGTGCCGCCGAATTCGTCGCCGTACTTCACCTAACCACATGAATCCGCTAGGACCCCTAAAGGGGCAAGTTCTGATTGGGGAAATAAGCGACAACGCCCGGGCAGAGATGCATACATGATTTTTTAGTCGCCAAGAGCATTGACGGGCAGCAGTGACATTGAGCCACCAACACAAGGCTCCGATAACAGACATCACTATCCGTCGCCAACAATATCATACAATGTCAACAGTCACCAAACACATGTACCCATGCCGTACATCAGTACCATACGTTCACCGCCGAATTCAATACGGTACACCGATACTAACCAGCAATACCAGACATATTTGATTATATTGAGCACCAAACGTGAGTCACATACGCCAGTCACATGCACTAGCAACACACATCACTACTATACACCACGCATCCACACATGCATCATGTAGCAGTAGTTCATACAGGGAATGTGTACCAAGAGCAAACACCAGTCACCAGTACATCAACACACGTCGCGTGGACCAACCAAGTGTACCAACGATGTGCACCATGAGTAGCAAGACAGAAGAGACGCTTCTCACAGGCACCAACCGCACAAACCAAACACGTTCAGGCAGAACACATCTTGGTGAGCTGACGGTTCCTGGGTTTCTGAAGCCAGGTCTAAGGTCAAATGGCAGTCCGTTGACATAGCGCATTTTGTCTCGTCCCTCCCCGCTTGCCTGACCTCGATGTGCGGCCTGGTCATCTTCCCCACGATGGGGGCACGGCTGAGGAGAGCGACCCGCGCAGTGCGCAGCTGGCTTGCGGAGACAGGCAGCCGTCGGATCAGCTCCCCACGAGACCAGTACAAAGACTCACCAGGACATTGGCAAGTCGGGAAAACAGCACCCTTTCCCGCAAAGTCAGATTTTGGTCTTCCGGTGCATTTTTGTATGTTGCTGCGTTTGGTCGTCCAGTGCATGGTTTCTGTTGCTGCACTGTAGGGTTCGGGTCTTTGTCCGGATCTAGGGAAGGTTTTGTAGGCTTTGATGACCTCTGTTTTGGTTTTTCTCCGGGAGTTTTGCAGAGCAGTTTTTTGCCCGTGCCGCCCTCTCGTGCAGTGCCGTTGCCCGCGCGTGCCGCCGCCGGAAGAACATTGGCTTCGGTGTACGTTGAAGCGTGCCTGGGCGTAGGGGGCCCTGATCCGAAGTCTGGGCCCTCCCCCTTCCCGTCAAAGCGACGTTCGGGCGGGCGGACCCGAACGTCCCTCCGTCCCTTCCTCCCTCCGTCCCTTCCTCCCCTGCCGTTCATCCCCCCCCTTTCCTCCTGCCTCCTCCTCTCTCTCTCGAATCAACATAAGAAGGAGACGAACAATAATAATAGTCATAGCAATAATAATAATAAGACAAGAGCCAGAAGCATAAACTTTTGGCGCTCCGCTCGGATTCCTTGGATCCGTGCTGAGGCGCCTCCGGCGCCGCTCCTGGCGCGCTCCGCGCGCCAGGGAGTGGGGTCCAGCGCAGATCCAAGAAGAACGCGTGGAGCGCCAAAAGTTTATGTTTTATGGCGTTGTTCTTTCTCCTTCTACTCTTCCCCCCTGGGCAGGTCTCAACACTGCGGCCAGGCTGGGCAGAGATAGGTCATGCAGCGTCATGCACCATGTGCAGGCGCCAGCTGGCCGTGCGCGGCGCAGCTTCTGGTGCGACGCCGCCGTGCATCTCGAGCGGCGGCGTGCGGAGGCACACCCGCAGCGCCGGGTCCCCAGGCGGGACGACCGTCGGCGCCGGCTCGCTCGGCTCCACGGGTAGGTGGCAAAGATGGCCGTGCTGCGCGGGCAGGGCCAGAGAGCCGTTCTACTCAGCAGGGGGTGATGGAGCAGGGGAGAACACGCCACCCCGACCCCAGCGTGGGCGTGTACGAGACGGTCCCGCTCGATTCTTTTGTTGGCTGCGTTCGCTGAGTGGCTTCGCTTGCTGGGGTGTTTATGATGAGGCTGCTTTTTTCTGCTCCCCTTGCGAGAGCGCGAAGCTAGTTGCATGACCCAGGCTTCCAGAGCCACCACCGGACTTTGCTTCGTTCGCCAGCAGGACTTGCATTTGGCGGCAGCCTGGACGAGGATAATGGAGTGGGAGGAGGAAGGACGAGGATAAACAATGAAGTAGGAGGAGAAGAGGAAAAGGGGAAGGTGGAAGGAGTAGGAGGATGAATGAAGTAGGAGGAGGAGGTGAAATGAGGAGGAGGAGGGATGGAGCGGGTAGGAGCAGGGGGGAGCAGGAGCAGGGGGGTGGAGAAGGGGGACACATGGAGGAGCACATGGGTGGGAGGAGGGGAAAAGCAGGTGGGGCAGGAGGCGGGAGGGAAGGCGTCCGCTGGGGAGGGGGGGGGACGGGTGCAGCGCTGCGGAGGTCTCCGGAGCTCCCTGGAGGCGCTCGGAGGCTTCCACGAGCCTTGAACCAAAACGCTGGGTATCGCTCGGACGTGTGCACTTTTTTCGGCGGGGATTACTCAGGAACATCCTAGATCATCCTGCGAAAAATCCACGCACGAAACCGAACAAGCACAGGGAACGGACGTCCGAGCGACAGGGAGAACCCCGAAAACGTTCAGTACTGATGTTCCGTGCTCCCGCCTCCGAAGGGGGAGGAGCAGAAGGGAGTGGTGCGGGTCGGAGCTGACAGGGCCGGTTCCGCCTCCGAGCGACGAGCGCGGGCCTAGGCGACTTCCTGTTCGCCACCGCCTCGGTGCTGGTGGCAGAGCTGGGGAGTCTGCCCGTTGTCGTGCTCATATCGAAGGCCACGCTGTCCCCATGCATCCTCCCTGCATTGTCCTCAATCGTCGAGGACCGAGTATCGAGATTCTGGGCTCGTTGTGGGACCCCGGAGGCCACCGCAGAGGCCACTAGGAATTGCCGTAATCCTATGCCCCTTTCTCTCTCCCTCTTCCCTTTTCTATGTTTCTCTCTCTTCCCCTTTCTCTTTCCCTCTTCCCCTTTCCCCTTTATTTCCCTCTCTATGCTTCTCCTCTCTCTTTCCCTTTCCCCTCTCCCTCTTCCCCTCTTCCCCTTTCTTCCCCTCTCTATGCTTCTCCTCCCTCTTCCCCTTTCAGCTTTCTCTCTCCCTCTTCCCCTTTTCCCCTTTCTTCCCCCCTCTCTCTTCCCTTCATCCTCTCCCTCTTCCCCTCTCTGTGCTTCTCTCTCTTCTCTCTTCCCCTTTCTCTCTCTTCCCCTTCTAAGTGTGATCATGGCGCCCTTGGTGATCCAAACGAAGCCATCCACCTATTGCGCACAAGACAACCGAAGAGTGCTGCAGGCCGGTGGATAGCAAAGGGTTCACGGGCGAACGTTTTGAGGAAGAGAAGGAACAGCAAGAGGAGGAGGAGAAATAATATCTCCATAGATTTGTTTTGGTGTTCATGGGAGTTCGGCAGTTGGCAACCCGCGCATGTTCGACATCATGTTTGTCCTTCCAGCAACAACATCATCATCATCATCATCGTCGTCGTCCTCGTCTTCGCCATCGACATCATCAGCGTTGTCGCCCTCGTCATCGTCATCATCATCATCGTCATCATCGTCATCAGCATCATCGTCACTATCATCATCATAATCATGAAAACCATAATCAGCAACATCATCATTATAATCATCACCACCAACAACAACGTCACCATCGTCGTCGTCATCATAATCGTCACTATCATCATCAGATGCATGAACACCATCATTATCAACAACGTCACCATCATCATAATGAACATCGTAATCATCAGAATCATCGTCAACATTATCATCATCATCATCCTCATCTTCAGTATCGTTATCGTCATCGTCGTCGGCGTCCTCGTCGTCGTTGTCGCACTCGTCATCGTCATCGTCATCGTCGTCGTCGTCGTTGTTGTCCTGACCTCTCCGTCGTCATCGTCATCGTTGTTGTCAAAGTCGTCGTTGTCGTCGTCGTCGTCGCCGTCGCCGTTGCCGTCACCACCACCACCGCCACCACCACCACCACCACCACCACCACCACCACCACCACCACCATCCTCTCGGGTTGGCCTGGCGGCACTCGGCAGCGGCTCCCCTCCGCAGACCCGAAGGGCCTCCATCGCCCGTTCGTCCCGCCCCGCTGGCCTGCACTGCGCCCCCCCCCCCCCGCTGCCTCCTGAAGCGGTTCTGCAGTTGACTGCTGCGATGGCTCATAACAAAACCGTCATACAGGTCGCCCTCTAGACGACGTCGCGCGGCCGGACGGCGAGAGTCCGCGAGGTACCGATACCGCTGCCCTTCCCTCGCTTTGACCTTTTTGGGCCTCCTGGGAGGCCCTCGGCGCCACCGCCAGGTTCGCCTCGAAGTTCCGGTCGGGACGCGCCCGAGGAGAGGTCCGGGGAGTAGCGGTATGTGTACCTTTTGGGTTACCCAGGGAGGGGGGGGGTCTTGGAGGCTGGGATTCCGCTCCCCGCGCCCCTGGCGGTTGCCTGGCACGCCAAGCAGGGCTCAGTCATCGCAGGGTGTTTGCCGCCTTCCCGCAGGACGTCTTGGCTTGTCGTGTCCCTTATGTTTATTGTTCTTTGTATGTTTATGCTTTTTACCATTATTTGCATTAGTCTTCTTATTATTATCCTTGGTTTCTTATCATTATTGTTAGTAGTTTTATGATTCGTCTTCTCGTTATTCGTGTTCTTCCCATCGACATCGATAGATATTACCATGCCGTTTGGAGGGAACCTGGAGTGCCGCCTGTCGGTTCAGCCGCAGTGGCGCAGAGCTGTTCGCGCAGTTGCGATTGGCGCCTGAGCGGGCCCCAGTACCCGCCATTGCCGACGTCACCCTGCTTGCCCCGGGCCGCTCGTCCAGCCTGATGGCGCTGCGAGCCCGGCGACGGCGGCCAACAGATACGCCAATGTTGGCATGCGTGCGACGATTTGATACGTGTGGTTCACACGTTCTGGTTTGCTTGTCCAGCCGCAATTGATCGGCATCGTCCTCATCATCGCCGCCGTCGCCATCGACGCCATCGACGTCATCGCCACCGCCGTCAGGACCATCGTCATCGCCCCAGTCCTGTGTACTACTCGACGCCCTCCTCTCCCCCGCGCCCTCCAGCGGCCCGCGCGTGGGGCCAGGTCGTGGCCGACTTCGGCTGGCACCTCGGAGCGCCTGGCCCCGGGGGCGGCCGCGGCGCGGCACGACGCTTTCCCGCGGGGGGCGCGGGGCCCGCCTGGGGCTCCTGGGCCGGGCAGGCTCGGGGGCTCGCACAGTCAGCCCGCATACCTTCCCAAGGGTACCCTTGCATCCCTGCTCCTTCGGCCCACTCCACCCGCGCTCGAAAAGCGTTCACGTGGGCCTCCAAGGCCTTTGCATCCTCGCCGCGCATGCCTATGATACAGGTTGGCTGTCGAGGGCGGGTTATCCAAAGGTGGGCTGGGGAGCGGGCCCAGCCGGATGCTCTCGTTTAACGCGCTTCTTCGAGGGGCCGTCCGAGTCGATTTTATCCCCCACACCCCACCGTTGTGCCCCTACCCCAGCTGCGTGTGCCCCGCCGACAAACGTGCTGACATAAGGTCCGTGTTGGGGTCCAGGAGGAGTCCTGGCCCTCGGGTTATGATGTTCCGGCCTACTGTAGCCGTGATCACCAGAAATAATTTCGAGCACCGAGAGAGTACCGAAGCCAGAGGGTTTTCGCGTGCCGGGCCCCGTGAGGCGACATTCCTTCGGCATTGTTTCGATATTGTTCTGGGTGCTCGAGAGTATTTCTGGGATGTGGTCCTTCAGTACGGTGGGAGCCAACATGACCCGCAGGCCGCTCCTCAGATCTGGGTCGGGGAGCCTGCTGTTGGCCGAGGCTCGCCGTGGCCAGAAGAGACCCTGCTCTGGTCATGGGTGCATGCAGGATCGAGCTTCTATTTACCGCCCCTGGGAGGAGGAGGAGGAGGAGGAGGAGGAGGAGGAGGAGGGGCAGCGGCAGTCGGCGCAGCAGTAGGAGCGGGGAGGGAGGGAAACCAGGAGCGGACGAGGAAGGAACCAGAGCCTCCAGAACTGCTCGAAGGCGGAGACTGCCTCTCGAAGGTCCAGCAGCCGCAGGAACCTCCCTCCCGTGCTCCCCGCCACCTCCCCTTCCCCTTCCCCTCCCTCTCTCCTCCTCTCCTCCTGCCCCCTGACCCCCCCCCCCCTTCCTTCCGCCTGCCTGCCACCCCCCTCCCCCCTTCGGGGGCTCGGCAGCAGCCCCCGGGCACCGATGGGAGGAGCGAGGGCCCGCGAGCGGCCCGTGGGGGCGGGCCCGGCGCTCCGCGGGCGCGCGGCCTCCGCGGGCTGGCCCCTCTGGCGGGGGGGCCCCGTGTCCGCCCCGGCCCGCGCCGGCCGCGGGGCATGCTCGGGAGGGCTGGCGGTGGTCGGCCCCTGTACGGGAGCCTCTGCAGGGTCTCGTCTTCGTCGGCCCGTCCTCGTCGACGTCCTCGTGCGGGCCGGGCTTCTCGGGAGGCTCGGTGCTGGGGCCTCTTGACAGGAGCCCCTGCAGGGCCCCGGCCTCGTCGGCCCGTCCTCGTCGGCGTCCTCGTTTCTGGGCCTCCCAGGCCGGGCCCCAGCAGATGGGGTCTGGGGTCAGTGGATCGCGCCATATCGCCGATGCATCGAGGATGCGGCTCGATGCGGAGAGCCCGAAGGTCTCCACGCCGGCGTCGCCGATGCGTCGCCGACATCGACGATGCCTCGTCGATGCACCGCCGATGCATCGCCGATGCGTTGGCGATGTGACACGATCCTCCGTCCGTCGTCTGCTCGGACCCCCTTTGGGAGGCCTGTACTGGGGGCCCCCTAGCCCCCCTCCGCCCGACATGCCTGCGACAGACGCGTGAATTGGGGGGACCAGGGGGTGGCGCTTTTGCGCGACGGGAGGCCACTGCAGCTGGCCCGCGGCAGGCTGGAAGCCGTGGCGTGCGAGTGGGCCCCGTGGAATATGTGGTGCAGTGGTTCCGCGTGAGTGGCCTGCCGCGCGGTGCGCACCGATCTGTGGGCCCATTCGGGAGCTGTTCCTAAGCATCCGAGCATGAAGCCGCCGAGACAAGGTGATACCATTAAGGTGATCGTTGTCTGATTCATTGTTTTGCCGATTGGCGCGGGCCGTCGCCCCCCCCCCCCCTCCCCACCGCATGGAGTAGATCTTGGCCGTTTTTGGCGCCCGTCTCGAGCAGGTGGAGTCTCCCCTGGAGGACGCACGGTTCCAAACAGTCACAGTAAGCAGAGGTCCAGCGCCAGACCCCACTTGGCTCCTCTTTGGTTCTCTCCTCTTCCCCCCTCTGCACAATTGGACAATTGGCCTGCCCCCCGGGACGCTTCGGTCGGCCAGGTCCTCCCGCACGGGCCCAAAGATGGCCACCCCGCGCCTCGCGCTCTGCGTCCAGGGCCTGAGAGGCGCCCCTCCTCCTGTGGAGCGGCGCTAGACGCGCGAGGTCTCCGCTGGCTCATCATTCCGACTCTTCCGACTCGATTCGAGTCGATTGCGATCGAGTCCGATTCCGATTCGGTTCTGATTCCGATTCGGATTTCGGCTTCTCGATGGAGGCCTTACCAGCCTGCCGATCTCCGCCGATTCGACTTCTCGCGACGCGGTTGGCGATTTCCGCCGATGCGATCGCCAATTCTGGGCTCTCCTGCCCACGCGCGGGCGTCTAGTTTTGGAAGCCGGCAATGGCCTGGGATCGGTTGGCATCGAGCGTTTTGCTCTGTTTGCAAGTTGCGAGCGTTCAGGGAACAACGATCGTGGCGGTGTCAGGAGCCAACGCCGACGTCATCGCGACGCGAACCTGCCGATCCCTCGATCCTCCCTCCCCAGACTCCTGGCGGAATGACTTTAATTGCATCCGTGGGCCCTGGCACTCTTGAATCCTTTCCACAGGGCTCATCTATCATCCTGGACCGTTCTCCAACGGTCCCAGGGCTCCGAAACAGGCCAGTGAGGCCGAGTTCTGTGTTTATATATATTATGTATATACACAGATGCGTATAACAAGAAGGGCTGAACAAACCGATCCGCTTGAGGCCTATGGTAGACTCCAGAGGTCCTGTGGAGGCCTCCCGAGCGTTCTGGAGGTCCCCGACGGAGGTACCAACAAAAGGCCAGAGGGGGTTCAGGCGCCTCGGGTCTTCTCTGGGCCAGCAGCGTCCACGCGCAACCTGCGCCTCCCCCGCCACCATCTCAGTGTACTTCAGGACCAATCTGTCGTAGATTTGTGGAAGTCGATCCATGGAGAGGAAGCATGCTGCAAAATAATCTCCATATGTCAAAAAGATGTTTCAACCATGGTTAACATGTGGTAAAACATGTTTAGAACATGTTTCACACATTTTAAACACATGCTTGATTCAATGATGGGATTATTAGAGTGTCCATTGTCATGGCATCCACACTCGTAGATTAGAACCTGGATGCGTGAGCCGAGCACAAAGGAAAGAGAGAGATCAGACACCGAACGGAGTAGAAGAATGAGATGCCGCTCGGCAGCTCGATCTACTTTCTGAGTGCTCACGGAGTGTGCCCTGAACGTACCGACCCATGCGGCACACGGCCACCATCAGCTCTGCTCCTCCCCCACCTCAAGCATTCCTCCCGTCCCAACCTTCAACGCCCCGACCTCTAAGGATGGGAGAGTCATCCAAGACATCCTGCGAAGTGTATGTTTCGATCCGTGGCCCCAGACCTCCCGACCACTTCCGCGGGGGCTCTTGTTCTTCCCAGATCAGTGCTTGAGTGTCGCGGGGCCCCGGATGACGAAGCTGCGGAGTCAGGAGAGCACGGAAGAACCCCCTCAGCTCGAAGCCTGTGCTGCAATCCAAGACCCAGGGTGCCACGATTTTCCACAGCATGGACCCCTGGAGGTCTCGACCCACTCTCCACCCGTGAACTGGCGTTTCGTCCTTGGCGTCTCCGTCCCGAGTCGAGGCGGTCCGGGGGCCCGTCGAGGGCTCCCCCAGAGGCCGAGCGTGGCGAGCCGCCTCCCGAGACCGTCCGGAGCTCTTCACGAGTCGAGGGGGGGGCGAGCCTCGTCGTGTGGCGGATCCTTGGCAGAGTGCGAGAGGGGCCCTTGTGCAATAGATTTGTCGGGGGCGGACAGACCCCCCAACAGTGACACGTCGATTAGTGAATTGTCCGTTTTCACTAAACCAGGTCGTTTTCACTAAACCACGTTTTACTAAAGGGAGGTCTGTCCATCCCCGAATTTGGGGCAATCGTGTTGCAGATGTATTGCGCCAGAGGGTAGCATTGTGCTGTATCGCAAGTAATGTCCGGCACGCGAGAGCCCAGCAGTGCGTTCGCGCCCTGGAACGTATTGCACGCCCCAGCTGCATTGCAACCCCACAGATCTATTGCACCAGGTCTATTGCACCACCCCCTTGTCGCTGGACCCCCTTTTGGGTCAAGCCTGACGATGGTACGTTTTCTTCTTAGTGCACCAGCTGAGTGATGTTACGTCGGCGTCACCCCAACATTCTAATACTATGTGTGCGTCGTCCCCCCCCCCAGGGGGGACGCGCGCGCAGAGAAGCCTGTTAGTACAGGCTCAGTGGCGGGCGCTCTCTGGCCGTATCGCTCGGGAGGCGCTATATATCACAATATGGTTGTACTACATGCTCGGGTCGGACGCACACCTCCGAGTGGGACACAGTGTTAGTACAGTCAACCCGCATAGGAAGGATGGGCAACCTTCCCGAGGCTACCCTTGCATCCTTGCCTCCTCGGTCCATCCATGGCCATTTTCGTTGGCCGCGCCCCGCTCGAAAAGCTTCGAAAGGGGCGTCCAAGGCCCTTGCATCCTTCTCGCGCATCATTATGATACGGGCCGACTGTAGTACTAATATGTTCTTGTGTGTGTGTGTGTGCCACAACAGGGCCTGGGCTTGCAGGGCGCCTGGCCGGCCGCTCGGACGGGACCTGGCCTCGCGGCCGCGGCGGGTTGCCGAAGCCGAGGCCGCGGCGAGCTGGCACAGTCCGCCGTGCGCTTCGAGGCTCCCCACCCCCCGGCGGCCCCGCTCTTCGGGCAGCGTCGGGGCTCAAGAGACGTCACGGGGGTCAATGCAAACGGGGGTCAGCCAGAGCGCCGGATCTTGCAGGATCTTGCAGAGCCCGGGCTGCACTGACACGGGTTTCGGCGCAGGATCCTGCAGGATCTTGCATGATCTTGCAAGGCCTGACTGACCACAGTTTGCATTGACCCAGGTCCGAAGATCCCCGATCAGCGGCGGTTGTCGCCGTGGTCGACGTCGTCGTTGCGCGGGGGAGGGAGAGGGGTGGAGGGGGAGGGGGGGGAGGGGGAGGGGGAGGATCAGCGGAGGGACCTTTCTGAGACACCAGTGATTTGGTCTTCCTGGGGCCCCTTCGTCGCCACGGCTGGACGCAGCTCGGAAAAGTGGTGCGTTTGGGCCCCGGGAGGGGCCCAGGGACAGTTTCTGAGCCAATCTTGAGTTTCCAGTGCCTCAAGTCGAGAGGAGATGCAGGAGGAGAAAAATGAGGAGGAGGAGGAGGAGGAGGAGGAGGAGGAGGAGGAGGAGGAGGAGGAGGAGGAGACTCGAACCTCGTTGATCGTGGTCTTGGACGTGCTCGTAGCGCTGCTCTGTACTTGTGTGGGCCTTCGGGAAAGTTCTCGCCGCCATTGTTGGTCTCTCACTTGGAGTTCTGGGCCAGGGCTGAGTTTTAGGAGAGGAGGAATAGGAGAAGGAGGAGGAGGGAGGAGGACCAGGGAGGACAAGAAGGGCAGGAGGAGGAGGAGGGACAGGAGCAAGAGCGGGGAGGATCTTCTCCCGACCTCTTGGCAGTCAGTGTGGCCATCGTGCTCCATGCACCCACGTATTCGGCGCGGCACGAGGTTCGTTTCGGCATGAAGAAGTGGTCCCCGGTTGGGTGCCCAGTCGAGAGCCAGAACGTCGACTACATGTAAGAATGACCTCTCGCCGGAGTGACCTTCCGTGCGGACCCACTTGGGCCCCCGATCGCCGAAAGCGATGCGACAGTAGCGTCTTGCGCGCGTGGATTTGGTCCCCTTTGCGGCCCCTTCGGAAGCAGCGCACCAGAGGCCACTCTTGCCCAGGGCCACTCCTGCGCGTAGCCGGGAACGGCCCCCTCTCGGCAACGTGTGAGAGCGACCCTCCGCCGGAGCGGCCCGTGCCGCTCGGACCTGAGCACGCAGGCCGCGGCTGCTGCACCTCATGCAGCGATCGGCGAAATGCGCACGGCGGTCTGCAGGAGCGATCAGGATAGCCCTCTTGACGGGCAGCCGACAACATCTAGGCCTCCCAGATGGGGTCGAGGTAGGAGGGGTCGGAGGATCGCGCCGCATCGCCGATGCATCGCCGATGCGGCTCGATGCAGGGCCCGATTTGCTTCAGGTCGACATCGCCAATACATCGCTGACGTCGACGATCAACATGTGACTCTCCGCGCGGATCTCTTGGATCTGCGCTGGGCCCACCTTAGGTGCGCTGAGGCGCCTCCAGCACCGCCTCTGGCGCGCTCCAGGGAGGGGAGTCCAGCGCAAGTCCACGAAGCCCGCGCGGAGTGCCAACAGTTTATGTTTATGCCGTTTTTTGCTATATATATGTATATAACAAAAAAACAGAAAATATCAGTATCTTTCGTATGAAAAAGAGCGGTAGGGCAGCCACGCACCAGAGGTCATTTTTGCCTGGGGCCATTCCTGCGTGCAGGCGGCCCACGCCGCGAACAGCACGCGGGCGAAAGAAACGCATCCGTATGCGCGGGGGTCTCGCGGCGTTTGTTCGTGGATGCCCCGCTCGCGGCGCATCCGTGCGACTGCTCATCCTCGGGATCGCACCCTGGAATCCAGACTGGGAGGGGGCGGATACGGACCGGGTGTTGCTAGAAGTGCTCCTGGTCCAGGTGGGCTGGAAGCGACCTTGCCCCGTCCATCTCTCTCTGGCGAGCCTCCGATCTCGGCCCCCCTACCTTCGGGAAGCCCAAACGGGGTACAGTCAACCCGCGTAGTAGCGATTGGCAACCTTCCCAAGGGTACCCTTGCATCCTTGCCTCCTCGGCCACTCCTTGGCCTTTCTCGTTGGCCGCGCCCCCGTCAAAAGGCTCCGAAGTGGGCGTCCAAGGCCCTTGCATCCTTGTCGCGCATCCTTACTATACGGGTTGACTGTAGTAACCTTGCCTCTCGGGCGACCGGGGCCTCCAGAGTCCCAAAGGCGAGCGGTGACAGACCGCGCGGTGAGGCCGTCGGGGACGCCGAGGTCGCCACGCGGTCCGTCGCCTCACGGCCTGCGGGGCCCTGGAGCTTCTGGCGCCCCGCCGTCGTTGTCCCCCGGCATCGCTCGGGCGTGTGTGCATGTATTCCCGGCGAGGGCCATCGAGGAGCATCCTGGATCATCGAGTCGTAAAACACGCGCGGATGGGCGTCCGAGCGATGGCGAGGTCCGGGGGCGCTCCACAGCGGGGTGTCCCGCGCCGCTCCTGGGCGTGCCGCGTCGTCTCGCGCGGCTCGTGCCCGCGCAGAGGCGGGCCTGCGTCTCTCTCCCTCGTGGCGGCGTGGCCTCCCTGCCTCCCCCCAGGGCCTCTCCAGCTCCAGCTCTCCCCCACGCCCCCGACCTGCTCCAGCCCTCGAATGCCGGGGCCCTCCTCGGTCGGGGGCGGCACAGCACGATCCAGCGACACATGTTCACGCTCTCTAGAGTGGTGGGGGGGGCACCAAGCTCTGCCACCTTCTTTGGATTGACAGACCACCTTACAAAGCTTTAGGCCTCCCAGATGGGGTCGGGGCAGATGGGGTCGGAGCATCGCGCCGCATCGCCCATGCATCGGCGATGCGGCTCGGTGTGGGCCCCGATGTTCGAGGAAGAAGGGTCGGCATGCAACTATATATTCTTGGCGCTCCGCGCGGATCTCTTGGATCCGCGCTGGGGCCCTCAGGCGGCGCCTCCGGCGCCGCCCCTGGCGTGCTCCGCGCGCCAGGAAGGTGGATCCAGCACAGATCCAAGAAATCCGCGCGCAGCGCCAAAAGTTTGTGTGTATGCCTTTTTGTTTTTTTCTTCTTCTAGATGTTCTCCACGCCGACGTCGCCGATGCCTCGCTGGTGCGTCGCCGATGTCTCGCCGAGGCATCGCCGAGGCGGCGCGATACTCCGACCCCATCGACACGGATCCCATCTGGGAGGTCTTTCTCCCCCAGTGTGCCCGCGCCTGCGGTGCTGCCAGGCGGTGGATTATTCGCTGGAGGAGACGCCTTCTGCTTCGTCGGCTTGGCATCGGTATCGCTCGGACGTGTGCGATTTTTCTCCTCGACGAGGGCCATCGAGGAGCATCTTTGTTCACCTTGCCGAAACACGAACATTGAAATGGACGTCCGGGACGGAAGAAACGAAACCGAAGTGGACCTTGCCGAGAAATGCACGCACGAAACCGAAACATGCACATGGTGACGTCCGAGCGCTGGCGAGGTCGTCGTCGACTCCGTCCTCCTCGTCTTCAATCGACGCCCCTGCCACTTCCTCCCACCAGGGGAGGACGAAGGTGGAGAGCTGGAAGGGGAGGTGGAGGTACAAGGGAGGGAGGGGAGATGTATGGGGAGGCGGGAGAGGAGGCGGAGAGAAGGAGAGGAGATGGGGGCGAGGTGGAGGAAGGGGTGGAGTTGGATGCAGGAAGACGTCCTGGCCAAGAGGGCTTCCGAAGGGGGGAGGGCGGAAGAGAATGATGAGGAAGAGGAACAGCTAATTATGTAGCCCATAGGGCCATCCTCCCTCTTCCCCTCGCCTTCCGTTCCCAGCCCTTCGTGTTAAAGCAGTGCGACAGAGCAGCGGAAGGGGGCATGCGCTAGCGTACGGCAGTCTGTTGGATCGATCGGCTTTGACAAGGGGCCGAGGCAGCGACCGCAAAGAGAAAGGGATAACGAGAGAGAGAGAGAGCGAGAGCGAGGGAGAGGGAGAGAGAAAGGTAAATTCTAGAATCTTACATCCCGTCCCCCTCCACTATTTTCGTCGTCCTTGGTTCGGCATCGGTAGTGGGAGCTGGTGCGTGGCGCACGGCCTTCCTCTGCGCAGGAAAGACACGATGACGTTGTTGTTTATGTTCTGATCCAGCTTCTGGGGGAAAGCTACTTGGTGCGATGCCTCCATCTGCCAGCGGCAGCAGGTCGGGGTCTCGGCGGTCCGATGTCGGCAACAGAGCAATCTGAAAGGACCGGCTCCTCACAGCGGAGGCGTTGGACCCGAGGGAGTGCAAGAGGTATGTTTCGATGGCAGAGGCAGAGGGCAAGGGCAAGGTCCCGCTGTTCCTCACGTCCCTGCACGGCCTGGCTCGACTGACCTTCGAGCGCGTGGTCGTGGACAGCGACTTGGCTGCCGAGGGCGGCAGGAATGCGATGTTTGATCGTCTTGACAGGCGTTATCCCGAGGGCGAGCCGCAGGGCCGACCCTCGGATGCGCTGGGCGCTGACACGAGTCGACGACGGAATACGCGGGGAGGGCGACTCGGGTGCTCGCGAGGGCGTCTCTCGGAGGGGTGACCGACCCTACCTCGAGGCCCAGCATCTTGATCTGAAAGGTGCAGCTCGGGGCCCTTGATCTCAAACGTGAGCTGGTCGATGTCCTCGCCAAGCTCTTTTGTGCTGCGCCTGGCCAGCCCCGTCCACTGTGGCGACACGCCGCCCACCAGCTTCCTGGGCTTTGGCGAGGGGCGCAACGCGCTTTCGCGCATCATGGCCCGGGCGCGCGCCCGGAATCGACCGATCGGGCTGTGGCCCTGGCTTCGGGCAGGTCCTGAGATGCTGAAAAGCGCTCGGCGGCCTTGCGCACCAGTTGCAGGGCGAGCCCCCACGCGTCGGTCTCTCCATCGCCACCGTGTCCACCTCGCTGGACGAGAACACGGCGCTGACTGCGCCAGCGAAATGGCCCACGAGACCTTCGACGTGGAAGGAAGCGAGGACGGCAATCAAAAACGCTTTGCTCGGCCAAACGTTTGGGACGAAGCAGTCGCCGCTTGAGGCAATTCGACCACGGGCCGGTCGTTTCAACCGAGACGATGTCGGTCATTTTTCGAGGAGTTGTCAAAATCTGATGTGGTTCAGGGGCTCAACGACAAACTTTATGTCTGGCGGGCTTCTTTTATTCGGCACGCCTTCGAGCGTTTGCTTCAGCTCTACTCGCAGTGCCGCCATGCGCACGCGCTGCGGGCCGCGGGCCGCGATCGTGGCGGCGCTCGACGAGTGGACGACGCGCGCGCGTGCGTCCTTGGGGGTCGGATCCGAGCGGCTCGAAGGTTCAGGACACAACGTCATCGTCTTTCGATGACTTGAGTAGTCGGAGTCTCGATGTCGCCGTGCTGGCTGGCTCGAACCGTCGGGGCCGCAGAAGGCGCTGGCCCAGCTTGGCGCAGGTCCTCGATCGGGGCCTCAGTGTCGCAGCATGGCTCGCGCAGTCGGGGCTGGAACGTTGCCAGTCTGAGCGGTCCGAATGGTCAGGGCGGCGGAGTTGTGAGCGAGGGTAGGTGCTGAGAGCGCTCTCTCGGTCGCGACGTCGACTCGACGAGGCGGCTGCATGACTCGAGGCAGTCCTTCGAGGTCATCGACCCCGAAGGACCGGGCGGGGGCGTCGGCTCGGGCAGTGCGTTTAAGAACAGCAGCCGGAGAGGCGCCCCGACGGGCGACGAGGCGCCATGGACCGGAGGGTTCCACAATGGGGTTTTCGGGGAGGGGGTTTTCCAGGAGGGGTCCCCCAGGGGCTTCGCACCCCCTGTTTTGACGAGGTTCCGAGGCCCCTAGGGGGCTCTCTGGGAAATCCCCTCCCCAAAAATCTCCTTTGGAACCCTGCGGATGGAGCAAGGCTGGCAAGGCGGTTGGTTTTGGGGCCCGTGATCGAGGACCTGCGTGTTTCATATTGGGCAGCAACGAGGTGTATCTCTCCCATGAGAGGGTGTGGGTGGCAGCGCGGGTCGGAGGTCGTCCAACTGGAAGTTGCCTTTTTCTCGCGGGTGGTTCGACGTCGCTCTTTGTGTCTGTGTAGTTGGTTGAGGACCTTAACATGGCGGCATGACGCACTTCAAGGGCCTGAATCCGCCAGTTCCGATGATGGTCGGGTCCCGACGGGGTCGCAACTTGAGCGTGAGGCAGAAGATGCTCAGGGTGCTCCGTGCGAGGAACTACCTCCCGCGCATGGACTCTTGGCGAGATTCCTACCAGACCTCTGCCGACGAGCGTGGACCACAAGCAGGAGTCGAGGCCAGGGCTCGAGGTTCACGCGCTCAAGGTGGAGCCGGAGGACGGGGGGGGCGGGAAGTAGCGCTGAGCGAGCTGGTGCGCCCGCAGCTCCCGACCAGCCTGGGGCAGCCTCCCGCGCTCCTCGAGCAGCTGAGCGCCACGGGGGCGTCATGGGGGCGTCACCTTCGGGGAGGCCAGCAGCGGCGGACCGGCAGCTAGACAGGACGCGGCCGCCAGGATCGCGCGCAGCAGGTGCAGGCGTCGGGGGTTCGTAGAGGGGGGGCGTTATCCATCGGTGGGGTCAGGGCACGCACCCGGGCGGATACGCACATCGCTTTCTTCCAGGGGTCGTCTGGAGCGAGTCTCTTCTGACCCCACCTCTGCCAGAACCCCACTTCTCTACGCGCCCCAAAGGTGGGGACTGTCAGAGCTAGGGAGAAGCCCGCGCTGACGGCCCTGTCACCACCGCGCCCCATGATGGGAAGATGTTGGGCGCGGTGAAGGGTCCTGGGGATCTTGTGGAATGCGTGGGGAAATTCAAGGGGGCTCTTCTTTCTGCTGAATGGCGAGCGGGGATGTTTCGCGCGCGCGCGCACCTCCATCCATTCGGCCAGTACCTAGACACGGCTGAAATCAAGCATATCACGGCTTTCCCTGACATCCCTCATTATCATTTGGATGATCTTTCATCCAGTCTTCATTGTTCCTCCTTCTCTAACCTCCTCCCTTCTTCCCCCCCTCCTCCCTTATCCTCCATTGTTGTCCCGCATGCTCATTCCTCGTTTCCCGTCCTCTCCTCCCCCTCTTGCTGGAGGCTGCTCTCCTTAGGCCTCCGCCTGGAAGGCCAGGCTCGTATCTCGGATATCGGCGCATTACCCTCATTCTCATTTTTCCCCCCCCCCCCCCCCTGCCTCCTTCCCACCTCGATCATCCTCGTTATGCCTCTGCCAGCCTCCCTCTCTGGCCAATCTTCACCCCGCTGATGTATATAGCGCACGTTCGGTCGCACATAGTCACATAGTCAATCTTCACCTCGATTGTCTGCTATGTGGTCGTTAGTGACATTTGGCCGATATCGCTCCGCCGCCGCCGCCTCCCCCTCTGCCGTCCCCGCGGGCGGCTCGTTGCCGCTTTGCGGATCTCAGCGCATGCCCCTCATCCTCTTTCTCGTCCCTCCCCCTCCCCCCATCTGGACTGCTTGAAACCTCGACTGGAGTTTGGGCATGAAGCCCTCCTGGAAGGTCAGGGATCCTCCTCCCCCCATCATACAACTCCGCCAGCCTCCCCCCCTGCCGTCCCCAGGGGCGGCCTCTGGGGGGCCTGGCGGGCCCCTGCGGGCGTCCCCCTGAAATCTCCGGCAGCGGCCTCTGCACGCCACCGGGGCTCAAAGAGACGGGGGTCAGTGCCAACGGGGGTCAGCCAGGGCGCCGGATCTTGCAGGATCCTGCGGAGCTGGGGCTGCCCTGACCCGGGCTCGGGCGCAGGATCCTGCAGGACCCTGCAGGATCCTGCAGAGCTTGACTGGCCCGGGTCTGCACTGACCTCACTGGCCTGGTCTGCACTGACTATGTCTGGAGGCCCCTGCTGGGGGGCCTCCAGACATAGTTGTTCTCAGAAGCACTGGGGGCGTGGGGCGTTCTTTGCCTCCGTTTTCTGCTCTTCGGCCGTGAGTTCTCACCAGGAGGTGCCAGGAGCGGCAACGCCCAGGAAGCGGGCGCCAGGCAGGCGGCACTGTGACACCAGCAGGCGTAGTGACAGCCGACAGGGCATCATCAGGTGGGCCACGGGCCGACCCCGCACCTGTAAGCGCAAGACAATCGGCGCCCACGAATTGTGAAAAGACGTCGACCTTGCGATCGTTTTCGTATTCACTGTTCTGCCGATCGGCGCGGGCCCTCGCCCCCCCCCCCTCCCCCCTCCCCATGGAGCAGATCTTGGCTGTTTTTTTGGCGCCTGTTTCACGCTGGTGGAGTCTCCCCCCTAGGACGCACTGTTGCAAACAGTCGCGCTAAGCAGAGGTCCGGAGCCAGACCCCCTCCCCCTCCCCCCTCTTTCGCTCAATGTCGAAGCGCCCAATAAGAAACGTTCACCTTCGAAGCGTAAGAAACAAACAACGACCTCGGTATGTTGAAGAACATTGAAATTCAAGCCTCTGGGGGCCTCCAGATGTCCCCTCCGCGGGTCTTTGCCTCCAGCGGTCTCTGGATGCCACCCTCTGATGCACGGAGGTCCCTCGTGGGCCAAAAGCATAGCCGCATCCGCGGCCTCGTGTGCTGGGCCCCTGGGCCGCGACCCCGCGGATACTGGACGTTCTGTCATTGGTGTCCCGCGTGGAAGGTATCCGTGCGACCGCGCATCCGCGGGATCGTGCCCTGGAGTCGAGGCCGCGAGAGCGCGGGTATGGACCTGTTGGCTCGTGCGGCAGGCCTCCAGAGGCCCCCCCATACCCCCGCGGGCCTGTCGGAGAGTTGGCGATTCCCTCCGCGATTCCCACGGGGGTCGGGGCCTTTCCCCCGCAGGGCGTCTCGGTAACTCGGGGCTTGTCGGCGACCCCCCCCCCTCTCCTTTGGTCTTCCAGACTGGAAAAAATACCACTCCAGATCTATAGACTCATCTGGACTGCTTAAACCTCGACTGGAATTTGGGTATCAAGGTCCAAGTGCTATTCTGTAGCCCTCCATGGGGCGTATCAGCGACCCAGGGGCGTGTCGTGCTGGCGCTTTCCCTCCTCCACAGGTGCTTGTCAGTGATCCCGGATCTCGGGGCCGGAGGAGGGTTTTCCGCGCAGATTTGGGCCGTGTAGGCGCGGCCACCCGCTCCACCGCGATGCCCACCGCCACAGCAGAGGGACCCCGCGGAGGGCGGAGCGGGAGCGTCGGGGGCGGCGGCGGGCCCTGGCCGCACCTCCAAAGGTCAACGATCTAGGCCTCCTATAGAGATGGGGTCGGAGGATCGCGCCGCACCGCCAATGCACCGCTGATGCATTGCCGATGCGGCTGGATGTGCAGCCCAATTTGCTTCACGTCGACGTCGCCGATGCATTGCCCACGTCGAGTATGCATCGCTGGTGCATCCCCGATGCCTCGCCGATTTGTAGGCGACGCGGCGCGATCACCCGACCCCGACCTACCCCGACCCCATCTAGCAGGCATCTAGCAGAGCCACCCCTCGGCGCATGGACACTTGCCTGCCCGCCAGCAGGCGGGCGGGGGGTACCCCCCCCCGGCCGCGAGGACTACCTGGCCAAGTCGTTCTACAAGACCGCCTCCCTGCTCGCGGCGGCCTGCCAGAGCGCGGCCGTGCTCAGCGGCGCGGGCCCGGAGTCCCCCCAGGCGTGGTTGGGCGGCCAGGGGGCGCGGGCCCGAGCCTCGGGGTCCACTCTCGGCGGGTCAACGATTCGGCGGCGAGCGAGGGGGGGAAGCGGGAAGAGGCGGGCCTTCTCAGAAGGCTTGGAAGGCCCCCAGCCTTCTGGGAAGTGCTCGGACAAACAACTGAGGAGCCCCGCCGCCTTCTCAGAAGGCCTTCCCCTTGGCACTTCCCCCCTCGCTCGCCGCCGCAAGATGGGGCCCGGATGGGATGGGCCCCAAGGGCGGACGGCACAGCAGACACCTACAGTCTAACCCGCATCGTGAGGATGAGCGACTTCCAAGAGCATCCTCAGTGACTTTCGCTGGCCAGTCTCGCTCGAAAAACGTCAACGTGGCCCTCCAAGGCCCCTGCATCCTTACCGCGCATCCTTCTTGTGCGAGTTGACTGTCGGTGGTGCGCGGACGAAAACGGCCAGGCGTGCGAACGCATCTCCCACGGCCAGAGGCCGCACGAGCAGCTCTCATCACACCGTGGAGGACAAAGAGGAAGAGGAGGAAGAGGAGGACGAGAGGGAGGGGGGGAAGGAGGAAGAGGGGGGCAGAGGAGGAAGAGAAGGAGGCGAAGAGAGGAAGAGGGAGGGGGAGAAGAGGCGAAGAAGGCGAAGAAGGCGAAGAAGAAAGAGGCGAAGGGGGAGAAGAGGCGAAGAGGAGGCGTAGAAGGGGAGAAGAGGCGAATTAGAGGGGGAGAAGAGGCGAAGGGAAGAACATGTGAACGCCCACAGTATATTCTTCCGTCCGAGGGGGCCTGACGACTCGACAGGGATCCCGCGCTGAACCTTCCATGTTGGAGGCCACTCGTCCTTGGGGGCCATCCCTCAGAGCCCCATCTTAACGAGGCACAACCAGTGACAAACAGAACGACTCGGAAGTCCGCGCGGATTCCTCGGATCGGTGGTGGGGCCCCTTTGGCGGCGCCTCCAGCCCCGCCCCTGGCGCGCTTGGCGCGCCAGGGAGGGGGCTCCAGCGCCGATCCGAGAAATCCGCTCGGACCGACGAGTTTTTATGTTCATCCCACTGCTTGTTCCCCTCATCTCTGCTTGCCGGACAATGGGCGCCTGCCGTCTCTCGCGGCCCGCCCGAGAGTGCGTGCGGATTGCCTCTGCCGCGCTGCGACGTAAAACGAGTTCCCCTGAGTTTTCACCCACCGACATGCAAAGCTCGAGGCGCGAGGTTTGGGGGCAGTGCTCGCCCCCCAGACCCCCGACGTCATGGGTTTTTCATGACGTGGGCCCCCAACGGTCTGGACCCATTCCCCGGGACCAGTTTGTCGTCCTGAGTCGTTTTTTGACGTTCTCGATGGTCGGGAAGGGTCCCCAGAGGTCGAAGATGCGAACAAGTCCCCGTCATGATTTGTTCATGACCCGAGGGGAAAGCATGCTACGCATGTAGTGAAGTCAATGATGCAAGAATTCCCTACCTAGGCTCTGCCTAGAAGGGTTCTTACTGGCTGTGCTTAAAGGGCCGGGCAGTGGTCCTCGCCCCGGGCGGTTCCCCCGGCATCCGCCCCGCGGTTCCCCCAGTTACGTTCCTTTAGCTTAGCGTTGCTTATTTCATCTTAGCTTAGCTTATTTCATCTTAGCTTAGCTTAGCTTCATCTTAGCTCAGGTTTATCTTAGCTTAGCGTACCTTCATCTCAGCTTCGCTGAATTTCAGCATAGCAGGGCACAGCATAGCATAGCATAACGTAGCGTAGCATAGCGCAGCACAGCATAGCATACCATAGCCTAGCATAACATAGCGCAGCCTAGCGTAGCGTAGCATAGCGCAGCATAGCATAGGCTCTGCCTAGAGGGTTCTTACTCGCTGGGCTTAAAGGGGCCGGGCAGTGGGCTCCGCCCCCGGCGGTTCCCCCGGTCCCCGCCCCGCGGTTCCCCCAGTTGCCCCCTTCCCTTAGGTTTGCGTATCTCATCTTAGCTTAGCTTAGTTTAGTTTCATCTTAGCTTCGCTTAGCTGTAGCTGTAGCTTGGCTTAACTTAACATATCATTGCATAGCCCAGCATAGCCTAGCATAGCGCAGCATAGCATAGCATAGCATAGCATAGCATAGCGCAGCATAGCACACACAGCCTAGCGTAGCATCGCGCAGCATAGTATAGCATACCATAGCCTAGCATAACATAGCGCAGCCTAGCGTTGCATAGCATAGCGCAGCATAGCGCAGCATAGCGCAGCATAGCATAGCATAGCATAGTGCAGCATATCATAGCATAGCATAGCATAGCATAGCATAGCAGCAAAGAAAAGGCAAAGCAACAGCAGCAACAGCAAAACAACTCACTAGCAACGCAAAGCAAAGCAAAGCAACAGCGAAGGAAAGGCAAAGCAAACGCAATGTGCAACAGTACGATCAGAGAGCCCACCCGGTGATCGTGTGCAAAAACATGCGTGTGTGTGCGCGAAGGCAAAGCAAAAGCAACACTAAGCAAAAGCAAACACAAGCGAAAGCAAAGGCAACTACGACGATGAGGAGAAGGAGGAGGACGGCGTTTACCGTTACTACTAATGCTGTTTTCCTAGGGGCTCCAACTCCTAGGTAGGGTCGCACTGGGGTAATTAATTAGATTTGGATCCGTGTGTGGATCAGTCTAAAATGTCAATGTTGAGCCGGCTATAATGCCCCTTTTGATTTTTGAGCTGGCTATAATGCCCTCTCGTGCCCACCCCGTCCCGTCGCCAGGGTCTTCGCATCCCCTACGATGGTGGGATGGGGCGACCGCCCGCCTCCCCTGGCACTGCACGTGCTGTGCCGGGTTCGTGGGGATTTGGGTGAATTCTATGAATGCCCCTCCCTCCCCTTCCCGTACCACCGCGTACACCCAAAGCGCCATTTGTGGTCCTGCATGACATGCACAGTTTTGACTCCGCCTCAAGCCTAGCTCCAGCCCGAAGCCATTTCGGCTCAAGCCTCAAGTCTGGCTCAATGCTTGTCAACTTACCAGGGGCCTTGTCAACTTACTGGTGGTCGTTGTCAACTTACCAGGGGTCTTTGCCAACTTACATCTTACCCCCTCACACACCCCACCCGGAGAGTGGGAAATCGCGTTCCGTTTATCGCCCAACTTCCAGAGGCAATTGACGATTCAATACCGGGATGTTGTACTTATGGGCTCGTGGATCGTGGGCTGAACATCACAGGGGCCACCAGCCAGTAACCCGCACCTGCGGCTGGCAGGCCTCGCGATGCCTCGCCCTGGGTCTTTGCCAACTGAATAGGAATTGCATGCACGCAGTTGTCCGGGTATTCCGTGGTGACCGCGTTTGGCACAAGAGGCCAGAGGCCCCTCAGGGAACAAGGCCTCCTGGAGCACGATTTTCGGATGTTCCCGGAGGCCTCTCCGGGAACATGTTCCCGGAGGCCTCTCCAGGAACATGTTCCGGGGAGCCTCTCCCGGAACACGGGAAGAGCAGTCCACGGTTGGACCCGCCCGACCGCCCCGACAGCACGTTTGGGCCTGCAGGTGCCTCGCCCCCGTCGGGGCTGTTTGGTGGGGGGGCGGCCTCTCGTCGCCGCGGCGTCGGCATGCGCCTGCGGAGGTCTGGCCGGCGATCGCGCCACCCCTGGATGGGTGACCGGGTCATGCGGGCCTCCGGGCCGCCCGTGGGGTCGGCTGCGACGATGGGGGCAAAGAGCCCGGGGGAAAGCCATGTTTTCGGTGAGATTCCCCAACGAATACGTGTAATGCCTGCCCCTGGGCTATTCGCCCCTATCGTCGCCCCCGCTGGCGGCGCACCTCGACGAGGAGGACTGGGAGGGGAGCGAAAAAGTCGGGCGACGAGATCTTTGCATATCCACTTTCCCCTTGGCCAGGCCCTTCCTGGGCCCAGGAGCTGTGTATCCCGCCTCCTGTTCAAGCCAGGAGGGTGTGCGTACACACCGCTGCTGGGTTCAGAATTGGAGATGTCGCCGCCCTGAGGTAGGGATGGGGGGCAGCAGCGGGGGAGTGTGGCCAGCACTCACGGTGACTATCGTGTGAACATGTGTGAGCCCGCTGAGGAGGAGGGGGAAGAGGAGATGGGGGGGGATGAGGTGGGAGTTGGGGTAGGAGGCTGGGTAGGAGGCTGGGTAGGATGATGATGATGATGATGATGGATTCTGCAAAATGAGGGAGAGAATGGGAAGTCGAACGAGGGGTTCGGACGGGCAAAAGTGGTAGGAGGTGGAGTGGGGGGGGGGCTGCGACAGGAAGGGACGAGAGCGGGTGGATGGGGAGGAGGGGGCAGCCCCCCCAGGCACCTGGCACGGCATGGTCTGAGTCTCAGTCGGCGTGCGTTGCTTTCCTCAGTGGCAGGTCGTGCGATTTCGTAGCCAGAGAGGGAGCCCCGAGGTCTCTCCTCCCTCCCCGGGCAACCGGCGGCTCTCGACTGTTTGTTGAGACGTGGGCCCCCCGCAGACCCCTCGACCCCTTCCCCAGGGGCCAGCTCTTCGAACCGAGCTGTTTCACGAAGGCCCCAGTGTTTTCCATCCCTTGGCGACGCGCTCCTTTGAGGCAGATTTCCGCCCTACCTTGCCGCCGCTGCTTCGGCCATGCTGCACCTTTGCGGACACATCCGCGCTGTTTTGCGCTGAGGCGGAGGTTTTTAGGTTGTATTTCAGGAGGGGGAAGATCACACAGACATAGTTACAGATCGAATGGGAAGATATGGGAAGTGGGGGGAAAACGAACACCGAGAAAGTATGAGAAACAAACATTGGGGCATCCTGGAATTTGTGTGTTCCTGGGCCCCTCCAGTATTTCTGACTCCGCCCCTGCTGCGGCCGCGGGGGATGGCCCCCGTGCTCGGCGCCCGCGGGCCCCCCCTGCGAACCGCGGCCGCCGCGGCGCCCGAGGCCACCGCCGCGCCCAGGGCCCCGCCGCGCCCCCGCCTTGCCCGGGCATTGCCGGGCGCTCCGCGGGCGCGGCGGGCCAGCGTTCAGATCCTGGGCGTGGCGATCCCAGACGTCGACCCCACGTGTGGGGCCCCGGGAGGCGAGACTCGTTCGACACTGCTTCGATACCGTTCCGGGTGCTCGATATTCTGTCTGGGATGTGGTCTTCAGGCGCGACGAGAACTACAGAACCCTTGGCGATGACTGGAGTTCACTGGAGGCCGACCTCGTGCACAGAAGCGGCACGCGATGGCTGCGGCCCCTGCGCCCTGCCCCTGCCCCCCGCGGGCCGGCCTTCTTGGCCGGACACGGCGCGCCTCGCCTCGCTTCGCCTAGCGCTGACGGGCGTAACCAGGGGTGGGGGGAGGGGACGGGTCGCGTCAGGATTCGCGCCGGCGCCGTCAACGGGAATGTCGCCGAATGGTGTATTCCCAGATGGCGCCAGCGTGACTCGTGACGTGACCAGGGTGGGAGGAGTCTGGTCACGGGCGTCGTCGCGAAGGATGAAAAGAAACAGCGGGGGTCCGCGTGAGCCTTCCTGGGGCGGCCTAACCGACCCCTAGCCAACCATCCCCTTCCTTCACGCGTCCTTCGCAACGTCCCAAGATGTATATGCGGCTGGAGGGAAGCTTGGAATGCGAGGATGGCATCACGGAAGGGGATGGTTTGCTTGGGGTCGGTTAGGTCGCGCCCGAATCAGAAGCGTAATTTCGACCAGAGTCCGACCACCCCTGTGGACCCTCTCGACCAGATCTCGCCCAGATTCCGATGAGACCCAGATGAGGCCCGCCAAAACGCAAAGCATCTTGGGACCCCCGGAGCCTCCCGTGCAGGACCACACGGCCACGCCCCCGACCTGCTCCAACCCTCGAATGCCGTGGCCCTCCTCGGTCGGGGGCGGCACAGCACGATCCAGCGACATATGTTCACGCTCTCTAGAGTGGTGTGGGTGGGCACCAAGCTCTGCCACCTTCTTTGGCTTGACAGACCACCTTACAAAGTTTTAGGCCTCCCAGATGGGATCGGAGTAGATGGGGTCGGAGGATCGCGCCGCGTCGCCGATGCATCGCCGATGCGGCTGGATATGCAGCCCGATGAACTTCACGTCGTCGTCGTCGCCGATGCATCGCCGATGCTGACGGTGCATCGCCGGTGCATCGGCGATGCACCGCCGATGCATCACCGATACATCGGCGATGCGGCGCGATCCTCCGACCCCCTCTACTCCGACCCCATCCGGGAGGCCTCGAACAGCCAGAGTCAGGTGCTTCGGGCTCTCACGCCAGGATGGACTGCCAAACGCTGCCGTCGTCGAGCTGCTCGCGTCCTCCAAAGGGTTGCGGGCCGGCGCCCGTCCCCTCCGGAGGCGCAGTCCTGCTACAAGTTCGGCGCGTACGTCGGCCTGGCCTTCCAGGCCCGCCCCGTGGCGCGCGGGCAGGGCGGCAGGGCTCCGGGCCGCCCAGATTCAAGTCGGGCGTGTCCCTCCACGGGAGGAATGTTCAGGAGTAGTCAAAGCTACTTGAATGATTATGTTTGTGGAGGACGATCAATGGAGAGGAAGCATGTTGCCAAATAATTTCTAGATGTCTAAAACACGATTAAAGCATGTTTAACACATGCTCCTACCTTTTAAACACACGTTAAATTAAATGATAGGACTGTTGGTGTGTCCATTGTCGTTGCATCCACAAGACTGTGTGTGGGTATTGGTTGTGTTATGTTCAACGCTTCTTCCAAGGTCCGCCTGTAGGAGGACGTGCCCGACCCAGTCCTAGATGGGGAGGGAGTAGATGGGGTCAGAGGCTCGGGCCGCAACGCTGATGCATCGGCCATGCGGCTCGATGAGGAGCCTGATTTTCTCAACGCCGACGTCGCCGATGCATCGCCGACGTCGGTGATGCATCGCCTATGCGGCACGATCCTCCGACCCCATCTACCCGGACCCCATCCAGTAGGCCTCTAAGGGTCGAAGGCGATTCGATCGATCCGATTTGGTATCGGATTCGGCCGAGCCGATTCGATGCGGTTCCGATGTTGCCCGACGGTTTCCGATGCGGCCCGACGCGTTCATGGCGCCTTTGTGTAACCTGGCGCAGCCGATCCGTTCCGATTCCGGCTCCGTGCCGATGCATTTCGAGGGCAGCGCCGAGTTCTAGGCGCTCCGCGTATAACCACACGGGCCCCTTCAGAAGCGATGCCTGGGCGATTTGACCCCTCTCAGGCATGTGGGAGGCTGGGCAGCCGTCAAACCCCAAGAGACGGTGGAGGAACCAGAGGAGGAGGAGGAGGCGGAGGAGGAGGAGGCGAAGGAGGCGGAGGAGGCGGAATGGGCGGAGGAGGAGGAGGCGGAGGCGGAGCCGGAGGAGGAGGAGGAGGAGGAGGAGGAGGAGGAGGAGGAGGAGGAGGAGGAGTTTTTTGTTTGATATCAACCGTCTGAGAAAACGCGTGGGTTCGAAACACGAGCAGCCCTGTACATTGCTCGAGCATCACCCACCAAACAAGCTGGATATCTATATATATATATAGAGAGAGAGAGAGAGAGAGAGAGAGAGAGAGCGAAGAGAGGAGTCCTCGCAACGCTGCTGCAGGGGCTCCCGATCCACCAGCAGCAGCCGGGTTGAAGCTCCAAACATTGTGAGAGAAACAACAAGGAGAATTAGACCACGGACCAGGGGCCCCGCTCGACTGAGACCCCAGCACGTTGAGGATGTTTTCCTGTGCAAATCGCTGACCAAGCACTTTTGGCCCCACTAGACTGGGGTTTCAAATGACAGTTTCCAGACAGGTTTACAGGATGACCATGACTGGAATGCGCCTTGCACCGAGCGCAAACAATCAGCAACGCATTATCAGATCAGGCGAGGGCTATGCAAGTGTGCCGTCGTTGGCGCAGAGCTCTCGGGTCAATGCGAGGCGGCTTTGCACAGGCTCCAGGCGGGGGCAGAACTAGTCGAGCAGGATCCATTGGCTTGGGGTTCTTCACGCCCCTGGAGACATGCAAGCACGATTCACACTGCCAAACCAGTGAAACTCGAACCCACTGATGGGTAGGTCCAGCCTCTTTCGGCTGCCTCACACGAAGCTTCTTTTCCAAAGCAACGCCTTTACGCTGCAAATTGGGCCACAGCGGCACAGTGTCGCACGACAAGTTAGCCACAGCTTTGAATCCCGAGCCAGCCAGCGGACCTCTTCTTCATTGGGCTGGTGGTGGCGCGAAAGGGAAATCTTGGCTACGGTGTCCGCCAGGTTGTTCCCTCGCTCGAGGAATCTAACGCGGCTGCTAAGGTCGGGGGAATCAGCAACATGGGTTTTCACCTTGGAAACGCCATCGGCGATTTTACGATGGGTAGGCAATACAAAGCCCGCGTAAAGGCGTTCGTAGCCGAGAGATCTAACCAGAAGCTCATTGGCCTAAACAACAACGCTCTTATAGTCCGAAAAGATAGAGGACCCTTGAAGAGCTTGCATTGCAGCAACGGCGCAGGCTCCGAACTCACCAGCCTGGGCCGTTTGAGGGTACGGGGCTCACGTCGGCCCAGAAAAACGGGCGAGCTCAACACTTTCGCCATCTACCAGCTCGCCCCCCCAGTCAGCCCTGGCTAATTCGGGAATCTTGTGAGCAAGACAACTTCCGTCCACGAATATATTGTCACGCCTGCCTGAGAAGTCTGTCTTCCCTGGAGAGTCGAACCACAGATTTTTGACACCGTGCTCCTCAATGCCCTCGCGAGCAGGGCGAGGTAACACATTTTCTGGATGCCGAAAAAGCCCGGGGGGGGGGGTAAATACCGGTGGTCTTCAGTTTCTCCGCTGAGGTCGAAAAGGGGGGAAGAGGGCGAAGCCAGCCTTGATGGCGATTAAAGATTCTCTACGCTCATGCTCATCTTCTACTGCAGGGCACCTCCATACGCGGCGCAACATAGTATCTGGGCTCTCTTTGCGCACAGCGCAAGTGGTATCGGCTTGATCGCCGGCTTGCTGGACACGAGAGCGGATCCAAATAGCAGAGCACGTAACCGATGTACTGCAATGTTTATTGTACTTGGTTTGTATGGTGGACCTCATCTCGGCCGAAACGGTGTCATGGCAGACGCGTGCCCCTGGAATGCTAAGCAAAAGTTTGGAGCCAGACTCTCTTTCGTGCATGCGCTTAACCGCAGCGCGACGGAGCTTGCACAACATTCCAGGAGAGACCACAGTAGGTGACACCTCGGCACCGCCATCGTCGACCAGAGTGGCGAGCGTTTCATAGCACCCAGAGGCCCCGAGACAAACCTCCAAGAAGATGGACCGTCCTGGAGACACAATGTGGCCCAGGAATCCCGACGCACGCCCCGTGGGATCACAAGTGGGTAAAGACGTGTCTAATTGGCCCTCCTTGGAGTATCGGACGATGGGCCCCGCGCCTCCGCACCAAGTTGGCACGCCATAAACAAGAAGAACAGACGTGCGCGAGCGGGAGCCAGCAGAAGGTTGTTTTGTATTGGTTGTTGAAGCTTGGAGTTGTCTCCACTCGGCGCTGGAGAGCCCGTACAGCTCCGCGCCGTAGGTGAAGCTCGGCATCGGTCCCGCAGTGAAGATCCTACTGGAATGACCTCCGAACGCCTGATTGAAACGGCCACATCTTTCAGTACGCTTCTTGCGAGCATGCTTCTTGACCAAGACTTTCTTGCAGCGTCCAGCCGCGTTCAGAGTCCCGAGGCCACAGCAATCGACGACGAAACCAGGGAGGCTTTATCCTCGGAGATGACCGCCCCCATTGCATCTTCGATGGCCTTCTTGAGGCCTAACGCAGATGAACCACGATTATTCATGATGTCGCGGGGTGCCTGATGAGCTCAAGCCGTAGTCCCCGATGTGGACGTCCAAAGTGACCATTTGAGGCAGTCGGATATTGTCTAGTGTTGGGATGGCCTGGACGCGGATCAACGACGTGGCGAGCGAGTATTTTGCCACGAATCCGCATTGCACGACGACGCTTCCGACAACAATTCCTGTCATGCAAATATGTCGGCCCAGACGAAACGCACTGACAGCGAGGCGGCCCAGCTGAATCGGGAACCCGAACTGACGAACCCGGGCGAGGACGGTGCTGAGGTCGACCAGTTCGTAGAATTGTAGAGGTCCCAGAAGAGAGTAGCCGAAACCTCCTCCGAACGAACCGACGCCTCGTTCCGAAGCCCTTGACGCCATACAACGTCTACTGCCGAACGGAAGCCTGCGGCGGCGAAACAAGGCCGCCCGAAGGACTTCTCCCGAGCGTGCGCCAGCGGGCGACGACAGCGGCTGAGACCGCTTGGGCGAAGATACCGATTGTGCAACAGCCGCCAGCCGGCTTGCTACGCATCGCCATCACCACGACGAGTCGGAAAGAGGCCCGAGGATTCCATGATGTTAATTGTTTTGGCCAGCGACCAGGGGCCCGTCACAGAGGTTGCTGGAATTTTTCATGTGTAAGCCGTCAACGGCCATCGCCGTCCGAGCCGAGTACCGCTTGCTAGTTGACCTGAGAGTGTCTGGGTCTAACTCGGGCAAGGGCTCCAAGTTAAAAAAAAATCTTCCTGGAAGGCGGCTTGTTGCTGGAGGTCTTCCATGGCGAGCGCAGTTGCTTGGCTTCCGTGTGTCTAACAGAGCCACAGGATCGGAGATGACATTGCCTTCGCAGCTGAGGGTGGTAGTGGGCTCCCAACGGTCAGATCCAAAAGCCTGCTGATGTGCCCGACGAGCCCCCTTGTTGACCGAATCGAGTAACCAGGTTTTGCAATCCGAAGCTTTCTAATATCCTCGCCCTTGGTGGTGTTCAAGGGTGAGGAGGCCAGGAGGGTTTTGATTTTACCATGCCAGAGCGCGTGCACTCCCATGCCTTCGCGAGAAAGCTGGGCGGTTTCAGGAGGAGCTGCGGAAGCTCTCTGACCTGGTCGGAGTCGGCTTCAAGGGAGCAGGACATGTTTCTAGACTGTTCGGGGGCGGGCTCTCTGGAACGCTCTGAGCACAGCGGGTGGCAGGAAGGTGAGGTGGAGAAAGGGGGAGGACCAGGGGGAGGAGGAAAAGGGGAGAGGAAGCCGTTGTTCTCAGAATGTTCCGGCGGGCGTTCCCTGGATCGTTCTGGGGGCATTTTCTGTCTCCCAGGATAAACAGCCGTTATTTGAAGCAGGGGCCGAACCTTATTCACAAGCCATTTTATAGAAAAAAGATCAGGTTGACGGTGTTGTTTGTTTTGGGAACCCCCAAACCGGGTGGTGAGATACCAGGTGGCGACTTGGAATCCCCAAGAAGGTCACCGCTGGGTTTGGGGACGCGGGGTCACCACCGGGTTTTGTGACTCCTGGACCCACCAGTGTCCGGGACATCCTCGGAAAACCGCACGAGTCCCCAAACCGGATGGTGACACCAAATCGCCCGAGACTCACCGCCAGGTGTTTTTTTCCACCACGTTTGGGGACTACCAATTGTTCTGGGAAAGAATATTGGTCCAGTGTATTTTGGGGGGGGTTACCGCGGGACCCCAGGCAAGGGGGTGAGGTCTGACGAGTCCTTAGGAGTTCTTTCTCGGCCACCGTGGCTCATTGCTTGTCAAGCAGATCCAAAGCCTTCTGCACAGGGGCGGCTTGCAGTCAACAGAATGCGCTCGCCGACGGTGGCCATTCTGTCGTAAGAGGGTGGCTCTGGTTCAGGACCAACCGCTGGAGCAACAGGAATAGGGGTTGGGTTAGTTTACGAACAGATAGTTATTGCAAAACTCCTAGTCGATCGTAGCATTCAATTTGCAAAGAAAGGTGAGGAGTAACATTGGAAGTAGTAATGGCCGAGACGCTACGGACACCTTTAGCCAGGCCCCCCGTGACCAGGAACAAGTCCAGGATGTTCGCACCATAGGTCCCAATCATGTTCTAAGGCACGACCATGTGCAAGCGCAGCCGAGTGACGATCCCCGAGGAAGTAACAACTTCGGGCTTACAGTGGCAGTCCCCTCCCGAAATCGACGGTAAGGAGACCTCCTCCGCAAGGGCTCCCTTTTTCGCCAAGGTAAGGATGTTTTCCTGATTTAGTCCGTCCGAGTTCTTCAGGTTCTCGCTGGCCACAAATAATCGTTCGCCGCCTGGAATGTTGATACTTGCTACGACTGCTCGGTGCTGCTCAATCACGTGAGATCCTGGATCCCATGGAAGATGCAGCCCGAGGCCAGAACAAACCATGATTCCCACGTCGCAAGAAGTCCCGTGGCCAATGCCCCGAGCAGCAGGGATTAGCAACGTCGCCCAGCTGTGATGCGCGCTCAGGATACAGCAGCATCGATGTCCGCTTCTAGTAGGTGGCGCTCCTGGAGCAAGAGCACGCTAGCTAACTTTGGGCAGCCACTTCATACGCCCACCTCCTCCTTCAGACCTCCAAGATGTTACGTTTGCCGTTTGAACACTTAAGCTAAACGGCGAAAATCTTGGGCTGACTTGGGGTGCAAAGCATGGAAAGAAGCCAGACGAACTGGGCTGGTTATGCACCTGTGGAGGGGAGGGATTCGGAGCCTATCGGATTGCGGCAACCGAGCCCCTGCCCACGGCTCAGTGGGACTGCTGGCCTGCGGGAGCGCGGACTGGGTCAGATTGCCAGGACTGTCAGCTACAGTTGGAGTGGGGCTACCGAGAGGAGCCGCAGGGGTCCACGCCTCAACAGTCTCCCCTCCTGCGCCTGAGGGAGGCCCATGGCCTCGCAAAAAACAAAAGACAAACCGAACGTTGGCGAGGATAGGGGTCTACAGCTGCGACGCTGCATTCTGCCCTGTCGCCGTGGCACCCTTACCTCCTCCCTTGCCTGAGTAGACAGATGCCCGCTTCCGAATGTCTGCATCGGAAGGAGCTGAGAAAGAGGCGGCAGCCGCTACGGGCGCAGCAGCCGCCGCGGTAGCGGGGGCAGCCTCGGGCGGTGTCGACGCCGTACTTGCGGTAGGTAGGGTGCCAGAAGTAGCCGTAACCGCACCACCGCCGTTCATGCAGCATGGGCAGCAGGAATTCCACCGTCAGAGTCAGCACGTCTGTTCTTCCTTGCAAGCCAGGTGAGACGACTCTGGTAAGGTGTTGGTTCTTTTTTCAGCGTTATGTTTGATCTCGCCGAGCAATTGCGTTGTCGTTTCACGCATGCCCGTTGCTAGTACTTCAGCACGCTGCGTGGCCTCGCCACGATATTCATGCGATACGTCGATGTAGTCGCCCAGGCCGAACATCTGTTCTGCATCCACTCCGAGGGAATTGAGCCGCCCGTGCAAGATAGCCTCGGGGTCCAACTGAGGGCTCGGACTGGCAGCCACAGCCGCGGACCCCACCATCTGCGAGTGGATCACTGCGACCGCGGATTGGTATTCAACCTCTACCTTACCAAGCTCCGACTCGATGCGCTTCACACGATCACAAGCTTATTGGAATTGGTTTGAACTATTGTCAGCGCGTCGGACGTCGTCAGCGAGCTGTTGCTTAAGGACGCCGATGCGACGGAACGCTTCGTCAGCACGGTACTGTGCAGGAGGGGGTTGGTGTTGACGGCGACCGAGCTCCAATGTTTGTTTTTTTTAGCCATGTCATGTTGGCCCGCCTTCTCGCCGAGGGAGATGAGTTTCTGCAGCTCCGCGTCAGTGAGATTTGGTGAGCTTGCAACGGGCCTGCAACGGGCCTGCGCCAGTGAGCATGAACCGTTGCAGGCCCGTTGCTAGTCGGGCCAGGCGGAAGAGGAACAAGCCCAGGACCGCCCATGGTGCTCTGCTGGCCGTATGGCAAGGCGAGCTGGGTCTGATTCGCCCATGCCCAAGGGGGACCACGCGGCGGAACTTGGAGAGGTACCGATTTGGACCAGTGTTCTCCACAGCGCTTGCAATTGGACCAGCTGGGCAAGTTGTTGCCGCACCCGCAGATGCAGCGGCACGTCTTGGGCGCGGTCCCGTCCGTGGCATTGCCACGGCGAGGGGCCATGCCATTTTCGAAATTGATGATGTGAAGAGCGAACCATTTGGCCCGATAGCGCAACTGCCACTCTGAAGTTGGTGCTATCAACTCGAAGTGCCTGAGGGAGGCCCGTCGGCTCTTGTTTTGAGAGCTCACTGCCACATCGATGTGGCAGGCATGATACTGTTGTTTGCCTCGGGGGGGGGCGCTTGGGGGCAGGACACCTGCTCCAACCGCTGGCTGGTTTCCCCCCCCCCTCCCATCCCCCTCGATTCTTTTGTGTTGAGAGCCCCATGTTGACAGCGATGTAGCATACATACAACCTCGGCACCCCAAAGGGGACCCATCCAGAGGGTAAGACACTTGCGCGTCATCACTCAGAGTGTGGAGTTATCTGAAGCGAAATGGTTGTCTCGGCCCCCGAATATTTTCCTTGCGGAGCTCCTTGATCACCGTGACGTAGCAGGCATAGCAATCGGACATCTCGAGGGGGAGCCAGCAGGGTGTGGCGGCACTTGCCCGTCCGCGCCCAGACTGTGAGGGCCGTCCCTGCGACACATGTTGTAAGGGCACCTCCGAGGTGTTCGTTTGAGAGCCTCATGATCACCGCGACAGAGCAGGCATTGATGGGCCAGTTTTCCACCACCACCACCATAAGTTGGAGGGGGAGGGTATCCTCCTCCTCCTCCTCCTCCTCCTCCTCCTCCTCCTTCCCCCCTCCAACTTATGGTGGTGGTGGTGGTGGTGGAAAACAGGCCCATGAGGCATAGCATGTGGGCACCCCCAAGGGGAGCTGCGAGGGGGTGTGGCACCTAGCCCAGGTGACAGGGACGTGTCCCATGAGGCTCTGATTTTGGCACCCCCAGGTCCTTTCGCTTCAGAGCCCCATGGCCATCGCGTCGTAGATGGATTGGACAATTGGGCATCCCAATGTTTATGTATTTCATGTTTTATCTCTCTCTCTCTCGGTCTCGCTTTTCGTTCGACTCATTCACACTTGATTGCTCATAGCCAGAAAGTTCGAACTCAGACGCGATCAGACTCAGTAACCTTGCTCACTCAATGCCATCACCGCCCCACGGTCTCGATGTCGTTCCGGGCATACGGGACTGGTTGCGCGCCTGGTTGTTTTTGAACGAGCCATGCCAGCACTCAGTTCGACGCCTGCTGGGACTCGCTCGTGCCCAAACAGTCACGTAATGTAAGTGCCACGAAGTGATACTTAACAACACGCGGATCTCTGCGCCGAGTAACATGATTTGAAGAGGGAGAGGGTGGGAGAGGGAAAGCCATAAGGGGACCGAGAGGGAGGGGGAGGATGCCGCTGCCCGACCCTGCCATCGGACCGCCAGCATTAAGCCCAGGTCGTGGACGACATCCTCGATTTCACGTCCACAGAGGAGGAGATCGGGAAGCCGGCGCGCTTCTCCCCCCCGTTCGCCGTCCCATCGAGCTGCCCCTGCCGCTCGCGCTTGCCTCTTCGCATGCAGGCCCGGAAGGGCCGCGGGGCCGGAGGCAGCCTCCAGACCCGCCGGCTCTCGGAGGTCCGTGGGATTCTCCCTGCCGTCGTCATGACTTGCCGCTCGCCACCCAGCACGGAGAAGCACGGCGCAGCGGCTTTCGAGGCGAAACCTGGCATCCGCGCACAGAGTGGAAAACTCGGGGACGAGGAGTAGGGAGAAAGAGGACAGGGAGGAAGCCAAGAGGAGGAGGAGGAGGAGGAGGAGGAGGACGAGGAGGAGGACGAGGCATGAGGAGGTCGGAGGAGGAGACGGACGAGGAAGAGGAGGATGAGGCATGAGGGGGTAGGAGGAAACTGACGAGGACGAGAGGTGATCAGGAGGAAGAGAAGGAGGAGGGTGGATAAATGGAAGAGGGAGAAGGAGACGGGGAGAGGAGGAGGGGACAGGAAGCGGAACGGGGGAGGAGTAGGCAAGGAGTTTAGCCTATGAGTATTTAGGCCGATCCTCAGACAGATCGAGGGTGCCATCTCCATCTTATGCCCTCACATGGGAGGGTGAGAGGAGGGAGTGGGGAGCGGAGGGACTGGAGGGATAGTTGGGAGCAGAGGGCAATGGCAATGGCAATGGCTAGTGGAGCATGCTCCCTCACTACCCGCGGTGGGGTGGGATGGGTGGGTGGGGGGGGGGCGGACACCCCCTGGCGCCAGAGGTCACAATGGCCGCGCCACACGCGCCACCTGGGATCCCGCCTGCCCCCAGGCGCAGGGGAGGCCGAGCCCAGAGGAGGCACCAATGCGGGATCGCGGGCCCGCCCCCCCCCCCCCCAGCCCCTCTGGGCGAACCCACCCTTCCAGCACCTTCTCCTCGAGCCACGCGCTGCCAAGACCACGAAGGCCGTGCCGCCGACCAACTCCGTCTGGCAGACAGAGCGGGACAATGCAGAAAAGGGTCACGCCGCAACGAAGCCCGGGCTTCCGACGAATTCCGCGCCAGCCAGGCAGAACGAGTTCGTGCTCTTCACCCGCTTGTGTTGAAAGGGCTGGGTGGGAAAGCAAACGGGGGAGGGAGGGACGTTTTTGCGGGTGCACGAGAAAGCGGAGGTAGGACGAAGATTCACCGCAGGGCGTTTGGCGTTTGCCCTTTGCCGCCGCCCCTCGCCGCACAATTCCTTCTCTAACCATTATCGATGGCCAGCCCCACTCGAGAAGCTTCGACATTGGCGTCCAAGGGTCTTTGCATCCTGATCGCGTATTATTGCTACAGTTTTGACCGTACTCCGTCCTTCCCGACTGCCTCCCTCGACCCCTCAAGGCACGCGCGTCTGAGACTTGGGCAGGGCCACAGCCTGGCGCGCGCAGGCGCGGGCACTAGACCCACCGACCTTCCAAGTGCCTCCCCGCCGTTGGGTCGTTTCCTCTTTCTCTGCCTTGCCTTCTTGTTTTTCTTCCCTTCCCTTGGTGAAGGGCAGATGGAGGGCTATCCATGGCGCCACTCCTAACAGACAGGACGGCCTCTGGGTCTCAGGTCCCGGGAGAATGAGGCAGAAGGGGGGATGAGGGACGGAGGTGGAGAATTGGATGAGGACAAACTGAGGATTACTACATCTCCGCTTGATCCGCATCCAAATGCCAATAGCCCTTGCGGGCTCCTCGGTTTTCCCTGTTGGACCTTGTGTTCCCCTCTCACTCGCTCGACGCTGCGGCAGCCATTCGCCCGAGTCGGGCACCTAAGCAGGAGATGAAGATGCCCAGCTCCCGCCAGTGGTGGGGGGCGTCTTCATTTCCTTTTGGGGTACCCGACTTCGCGAGTGTCCCGACTTCACGAAGAGGAAGAGAGAGAGAGAGAGAATCGAAGAAGAACAAACGGCGTACACATAAACTTGTGGCGCTCCGCGCGGAGTTCTTGGATCCGCGCTGGGCCCCCCCGACGGCGCCTCCAGCGCCGCCCATGGCGCGCTGCGCGAGCCAGGGAGGGGGGGGCCAGCGTGTACCCAAGAACTCCGCGCGGAGCGCCAAAAGTGCACTCCAGAGAGGGAGGGGGAGGGTGGAGGGCCTCCCCAACAGGGATTGGGTGGAGGGCCTCCCCACCCCTCCTCTCGCGAGAGCGGAGAGAACTGCAGGGGGGCTTTCGGGGCCGTTGCGCATCCGCGCGCCCCTTTCGATAGGACGACCCGACGGCCGATTGGTTCTCTCTTTTGTTGTTTTGTTCCTCTCTCTCTCTCTTTTATTATCTCTCTCTCTCTCTCTTTCTCTCTCTCTCTCTCTCTCTCTCTCTCTCTCTCTCCTTCTTTTGTATATATATGTATAAAAACAATCTTAAGTCGGGCATGCCCCTCTACAGGAGAAATGTTCAGACATAGCCCAAACACAGTATGGGGACGTCTTTTCGTTATTTTGATCTTCTGAACATGTTTTGACAATATTGCATTTGTCTTCCAAAATTCGCCTGTAGGAGGACATGCCCTGAAGAATGAACCCTTTTCGTTGGGGAGGGGCTCAGTGTTTCTCAATTGTGTTGCAGCTTGTCTCAGGTTGTCTCTAGGCTTTCTATGGGGCATCGAAGTTTCATGTGTGGGAAAACATGGACCTCGTTCCCCTATTCAGGGTTCCTTATGGAAGCGTTTCGAGTCTATCTCTGTTTTTCTTTCCCTTTTCTGCCTCTCTTCGGAGGAGTAAGTGGTCATGATAATGATACGTTCCAAGATGTCCGGTATTTCCCAGATTTCGTGATGTGCCACAGGGGTTGCAGACACGGGGGCCGCTCGATACTCTTGAATCCTGAAGCCCGTCCTGAGTCAATCCGATCATGGCATCATTCCCGTTCTATCTCTCTCCCCCTCTCTCTCTCTCTCCCCTCTCCCCTGCCTTCGCCGCCTGCGGCCTACCCCTTCGCCCCCAGGCGCTGGCGGACCTGAAGGAGGGCAACCTCTCGGCGCCCGTGCTCTTCGCGGCGCAGGATGTTTCTCGATGTCTCGTCGTCGTCGTTGTGGTCGTCGTCGAGGATCGAGGTGCGACGATTCAGCGACGATTCAGTTGCTTGTCGTGTGTTCGTGTTCTCGAGGGCTCTGGGGTTAGACCCAGCTCTGCCAGACCCACTCCTTATTCTGGAAAACAAGAATCATGCGGACATCTTCCCTTGGATCCTCCTGCAGCAACAATATCAAACGAATTTTGACTTGGAGTCTCCAGCCGCAGGGGTCTCGCAAACAAATCTCCAGCAACTCTCTAAAAACACTCCCCCCTCGACCTTCTCTGGTAAAGATCACCCGCGAAATCTATGGGCAAGTCCGCCCCCGCGAAAAGCTCTGGGTCCTTCGTGTGAGCCCACCAGAATCCCGACACCAGAACCCCGAACCAGGAGGGGCAGAAGTGGCACGAAACATTGTTTTCGAGTACCATGCCCGCTATGGAGGGGTGGGAGGGGCACGAACCTTGTACAACAAAATTGTTTTCGAGTGCCCTGCCCGCTGTGGCGGGGCTTCCCTGGATGAGATGGGCGGCAAGGGAATGAAACCTGGTAAATAATGTGGTTTTCGAGTGCCCGGCCCGCTCTTGCGTGGCCTTCTTGGAGGGGTGGGAGGGGCACGAAATCTGGTCTGTCTGTCTGTCTGTCTGTCTCCTGTCTGTCTGTCTGTCTGTCTGTCTGTCTGTCTGTCTGTCTGTCTGTCTGTCTGTCTGTCTGACTCAAGCGCGCCCGGCCGAATCTCTTGTTTCCACTGCTGGGTGCGGCTCGGGAAACAAAAACCTCACGCCCCCGGCGCGCCTCCATGCCGCAACAGATGCTCTGGGACGGGTAGCTGGATCCGCATGGAAGTAGATTCGATCGGAGATGACGGGGTCTCGCGGTCCTCGCAACTACGAGCAGGTGCTTGGGCGGTGAGCGTCCAGCCGCAGACCAACCGACCCGCGAGCTGCAGGCAGTGTGCGCTGGTCTTTGGCACCGGCGAGCCCCAGCTTAGCACATGGGGGGCGAGGGGAGGGCATGCTCACGCTGGACACGCGCATCGTACCTCCAGGGGAGGCTGCCTGCAGGCGTCGAGTTCCGGCCCGTCGGTTTCACCACCGCGGAGGACATCGAGGCGGCGAGGGCGAGGACGAGGGGGCATCAGGAACAAGAGGAGGGACGCCTTGCAAGAGGTGGGTTGCAAACCGCGGCGCCTGGCGCCGCTGCAAAGGCCGCGGCCGCGGCCAGGGCGGTGGCCAGGCCAACGTTTCCCTGACACCCAGCGTGGGATGACTTCAAACTTCCTGATCCCAGCTAGTGGGGTGCACTTTCGTGGGGCGACGCCTTGAAGATAGGAACGACAACGTTCGTCCAAGTCCCAGATCGCTTTCGGGGGGCAGTTGTGGAAACGGGGCGCAAGGCACTGGAAGTTTTGAAAGCGGCCCAACAGAACGGAGAGGCAGAGGCCGAGTGGAACGTTCGTTTGTTGATGGATATTTTGCTCCCAGCCAGGACCAGCGAGGCCACCGCGTGCGCCGAATTGCTCGAGGAACGTCTGGCCTGATTCTGGGGCGGACAGTGGGCGGCGTTATGGGCTTCTGCGCGCGCTGGCGGCCACGCTCCGCAACGCACCCGAACGCAGACTGACAAGCAAAGGCCGGCAATAATGCACACCCTCGCGGTTGCGGGCGAGGAGGGCCGGGCGCCCGCAGCAGCCACGAGCGCGCGGTTCGCCCCCCGCACCGGAAAAAACGGCGCGGAAGGTCAAGGGCTGCTTCCCGCCAGCGGCCGCAGGGGCATCCGAGCCCGCGGCGGTGGCGGCAGCTAGGCCACCGCCCCCAGACGAGGATCTGCTCCAGGCAGAGCAGACCGAAGTCCACCGCCTCTTATTGCGACCCGAGCGGCTCACAGCACCTGGGCTCTTCGGCGCGGGGCTCGAGGACCTGGCCGCGGCGAGCGCTCGCGAAGACGCCCTCGAGCTGCTCTCGCAGAAGGGCGACGGCG